AATCGCTTTACGGGAAGGAATCCTAATCGGCGCCAAACGAGGAGCTTCTGAAGTGGAGTTGATCTTATCATATCATATACCCGTTCTTTCATCCAAAAAAGTAGCTCTTCTTGTACATCAACGCTACTGATTTATATCACTTAATAGTGAGAAAATAGATAACATAAATTGGCCTCGAATCACGATCGCAACTGCTTTTGAAATCCCGACGCATGGGCGATTTCAATACCCTGTTGTATGTCCCATAGAAATCCTGTTTAGATCACGTAATACGTCATTGGCATGTTCACACAATTCAATCGGTGACGCACAAACTTTTTGGAAAGTAGTTTGTTAAAGAACTTCTTGTAAAAATGAAGACAATGTTTTCTTCGAAATATTACTTCGGACCAGCCATCCCCGATTGACAATAATACTTTTTTGTTTTAATTAGGCATCATTAGAAGGAGAGATAAACAGGCTTTTATTCATATATTAACAATTACAATGTTGATTTTGGAACATGAGAGATATGAGTTTCTGAGCTTGTCTGCATGCGTGTGCGTGCGTGCGTGTGTGTGTGTGTATGTGTGTGATTTAAATCCCGATTTATGCAAAGACAGCATATATTTAAAATGATAATAATCTGGATTTATAAAGCGCTTTACAAATATTATTACCCCGGTCATCAGATACATTCACGCACAATGTACACCATCTTCATTTCCTGGGGAGTATTCCTACCATATGGTCACCGTGGGGCCATATAGCAATTACTAACACAAGTGCTTTCGTCATCCTACCAGGCTCCCATGTCTCTCCGGGGTATGGAGTGGCAAATGTAGATTAATGCCTTGCCAAAGGACATTAGTTCCGTGTCGAGGAACGAACCAACGGCCTTTTAATGTCAAGTTAAGTGTTTAAACAACTCAACCATGACACCTCTTCATATATATTTCTCAGTCGTCCTGATTATCAACAGTCTGCAACATCAAAACTAGATTTTGACTTAAAGTTATGAAAACTCTGAACCGAAATCGAAACTGGAAATCAAGCACAATTTGATAAGGAAGCAGGAAGCCCTTAGAAAGAGAGAGAGAAAAAGAGAGAGAGAGAGAGAAAAAAAAGAGAGAGAGAGAAAAGGAGAGAGAGAAAAAAGTAGAGAGAAAAAAGGAGAGAGAGAGAGAAAGAGAAAGAGAAAAGGAGAGAGAAAAAAAGGAGAGAGAGAGAGAGAGAGAGAAAAGAGAGAAAAAAGGAGAGAGAGAAAAGGAGAGAGAAAAAAGGAGAGAGAGAGAGAAAGAGAGAGAGAAAAGGAGAGAGAGAAAAAAGGAGAGAGAGAGAGAGAGAGAGAGAAAAGGAGAGAGAGAAAAAAGTAGAGAGAAAAAAGGAGAGAGAGAGAAAAAAGAGAGAGAGAGAGAGAGAGAGAGAGAAAAGGAGAGAGAGAAAAAAAGGTGAGAGAGAGAGAGAGAAAAAAAAAACAAAGAGAGAAAAAAGGAGAGAGAGAGAAAAAAACAGAGAGAAAAGGAGAGAGAGAGTTAGAAAAAGAGAGAGAGAAAAGGAGAGAGAGAAAAAAGGAGAGAGAGAGTGAAAAAGAGAGAGAAAAAAAGGAGAGAGAGAGAAAAGGAGAGAAAGAGAGAAAAAGAAAGACAACGGTTGAGCAAATGGGAGAGGGAATGGCCCTTTTATATATCGATATGTTGACAATGTTGTATGACATGATATGCCATGGTTGGTTATGGAAGATTTGCAGCCAAGAAATGCAATGCTTGATAAATACAAACAAATCTCAATCAAGGGGAAATGATTTGTATTACTTTTATTTCAACTAGAATCCTGCAAACGCCTCTAGAATCTACGTATATAATAATAAAAATGAACATAATTTTACGGAGTAATGCATGACTTGACGAAGTTACATGAATTAAAATATTACGTAAACGTATCTCTGCAGACAAATGATAACATCATGATATCAGAATCTAGGAAAGATGTATACAAAATACATTACAGCAAACTCTACAAAGTATACAGAAAGACACAAATTAAGAATAGAAATATGCTATATATCTAAATTTAGATTTTAGAAACATTTGAAACGACACACATATCTTATAGGAAAATGTTCAAAATTCGTTATGTACTATGAGAAACCTATGTAATAGATGCCGTAAATGTAAATGTATAACAGTTTGAAAACATGATATCTATGTATTTATGATGATTGTGACAGAGTGATATTGAAAAGTTATGGTTTGTTTTCTCTACACGCAAGGAACATGAACGGACTTTAACGTAGTGCTTGTCATTGACCATTGAGATAAATAGGCAAACTGACCGGTCATGGGTCTCCCATGTCATTTAATTATTCCTTTGTTTAACCTGATAGCTTTATCGCAAAGAAAACTATTTCATAAAGCCTCTACCCAAGGTTGATGTTAGTATCAAGTTTATGATCGTATATTCGTATATCTAATCTATTGTATTTGATATCAAAACAACGAATTTGAATGAAATGTTTGTACGCAATTATGTACATTTATGAATAGATAACGTACCAAAAAAAATTCTTTTCATTAATGATAATAATTATTTTATGAAGTTGAATAAGTGCAATAAATTTAAAAACATCAGTAAAAGAAACGATCAAACTAATTCTGTGGAAAAAATTATTGTTATAATATTAAAACTACGTGACGGATGGTGGCATCACAAAGTCATTACAGAGTTGCCGCTTTATCTCGATCAGATAATCCTGTTCATAGTTTCTACTGTCATTGGACAATTATAAGTAGTTGTCAGATTACCTTGAAACGGAATTCTACTTTAACATTTTTTTTAAACTGCTAACGGGATTTCGAAATGGGTAATTGTGGATTATAGAACATTCACATACTAAATTCCGTTGAAGATTATAGCCAGAAAGTTTGTGAGCCGGATCACAGTCCTTCGAGACGAGGAAGAACAAAAGTTTTATATTTAACTCATAGCCTGCCCGCTAGTTGTCTCCAGTTGGGTTAGTTTTCCTTGGGGGATAGCAGTCCTCGGGGGTAGTTGTCCTCGGGGGTAATTTTCCTCGGGGGTAATTGTCCTCGGGGGTAATTGTCCTCGGGGGTATTTTTCCTTGGGGGGTAATTGTCCTCGGGGGTAGTTGTCCTCGGGGGGAATTGTCCTCGGGGGGTAATTGTCCTCGGGGGGTGATTCTCCGGGGGGGGGGGGGGGGTAATTGTCCTTGGGGGGGGGGGTAATTTTCCTCGGGGGGTAATTCTCCGGGGGGGTGATTTCCCGGGGGGTAATAGTCCTACGGGTGTAGTTTTCCGGGGGTAATTTCCGGGGGGGGGTGATTGCCCAGGGGGTAATTGTCCTGATACGGTTCATGCTCATTGTAGTGTGCTGTGTGTTTCGCATGCACTATTCATAGAACCATCGCATTAATCAGATTATCTCAAAATAAACTTGGCACGAGGGGATCTGGGGCTTGGCACAATGGAGATTAGAGTAAATCGACTCTGTTGTTACTGAACTACAGTTGTCGGATCAGCACTGGCTGGGTGAACCCGGCATACCACACCCGGAAAATTTAACCTTCTACAAAAAATGTAAATCACGCACTTGATACATTCTCTCCTCATTTCATAGTGACGGTGGGAGGGGGAGGGGGGGGGGGGTGTCCGCCCACCCCCTGTTTACCGATTCAGGATTCACGCAGGGCTTCCCCTAGATATAGGCTCCCCGTTTGGAGTCGATTCTTCCCCAATTGTATTAATTTTAGATACGACACTAAATACGTCCTTGTGGTTGTCAATTCTCAGCAGATTTTTTCTTTTTCTTATAGACGTAAATTTAGTAGTCCATCAATATCAACGCAGCACAATACATGTCATATTTTATAGTGTCCTATAGACACTCAACGATTTATAGATAGATAAAACATGGTAATTAAGTTTGAAAATTCTATAAACTAGACTGTAACCAGCAAGCAATCCATTGTGTATACTTGCTTTCATTTCTTGGTAAGCGCTAAAGCAGTATATATTTTCACTCATCTTGTTTGTAATTTGTAATCACAGATATTTCTTTTATTTATCTTATCATTTTCTATGCACAATACAAAATTTCAAACGTTGATGCAACTAAATAAATGCAAATAATGGCCGTTAAGTTTCTGGCAAGATTCATGTTTGTTAACGGTCATGTAAGCCTTTAGATTCATTTGAATCTTTTGGCTGAATCATAGGCTTAATTAAAATATAGGATTGCATATTGCATAATTGCATAATTGCAATGATGTCTACAATGTTGAATACCTGGACTGTTTTTACAAATTCTACAGATGGTATTGATATTTCCCTAACTTTCTTCCTATCCTCTTCCTTCTCTCTTTCTCTCTCTCTCTCTCTCTCTCCCCCTCTCTCTTCCTCTATCTTACTCTATTCTCTTACTATGCTCTCTTGGGAATTTCTTTATTGTATGTTACTTGTACCTTCTCAATACTTTAAATTAAAAAAATTATTCTTTAGCTGACATATTCCCCTCTTTTCACTATTGATCTTTTTTAAACCCAGTCTTATGCATTTTAATTTTCTTTTATTGGACTCTCGGTCTGTACCTGATTTAGATTTTGCACAGCTCGAGAGCCCTCTTTTGACGTAATTGTAATGATGTATACTTATTGTTTATATGTCCTTTTTGCAATATTTATTGATAATAGTTTAGTTATTTGATATTTTAACTTATGTAACTTATGTATTTATTCATTACTACTATTTTATTATGTATATTTGATTTAAATTATATTTTTGTACCCAAGACAGTTGTCAGTCTTTGGACTGTTTGCTCTTGGTTTTTGATGTTTTGATTTCAATAAAATCCTATATATATATATAGGATTAAATGAGATTTACGTTTTTTAGCTATACATTATGTTTCGCTTTCGATATGCAACATTGTATAGTTAAATTATATTTACTAATAATATAAATATTATGAAATTTAAAAAGCTCATGTAAGGATACTACTAATACTACTATCAATGGCATTTTATTCTCATATTTTCTTACTGGTCAGCTGGTCTAGCAATGTACTCATGCAAAATGTATTAATATCCTGGAAGTCACTATGTAGTATTGGTGCTGACTGTTTCTCTACTTGCCAGTTGAATACCTTGACCGCTCGAAGTCGCCAAGGACGTTCGACCATCCTGCGACCCAGTTTTCTTGTACTTTGCCTTGACGCAATCGTCACTGCGACGCTGACCGGCAAAGTGGCAGTGCATCCATCGAACCCACTGCTCACGGACCTTCTTCTGCCGGACGCAGAACATGATGAAGACGAGGAACCCCTGGAGGGAGTTTAAGACGAGGAAGAGGATGTTGAAGACAAGACGGGCACCACCAACGGCGAGGAAACCGAACAACCATGTCAGACCGAGCAAGACAGAGATGGCAGCGGCGTTCTGGACCCGTCGCCACATCTCACCGCGGTTGGCTTGGTTGGTCTTGTTGTCAGCGACGGACTTGCGGCATGACAAGCGTTGCATGACGAGACCAAAGATGATGAAGTTGGCGGCAAGTAAGATAGCGACGATGAGTAAGACGCCGTAATACAGGGCAGGACCCGGTTTGACAAAGCAACTGTTAAGCGAAGAGAGAAAAACACACCATACTTAAGTTTGAGAACAGAGAGACCATTATCATCACAGTATTATTCTCTTCAACAAAATATTGACCACTTATAAGATTAATAACAATAATAATAATTTATATGTAATGATAGCGATAATGATAACTCGACAAGAAGCAGATCATTTTTATTCATCATTAAAATTGGAATAACTACATGGGCTTACACAGTTTTCATGTAAAGACGCAAAATGACGACCTTGTAAACACGGGTTTGCAAAAGATAATAATAATTTTATATACAATGTAACTACACGGGCCGACACAGTTTCCAAGAATAATGCAAATTAGCGACCTTGGGTTTTCACAAATATTATTATGCCTTTAATACTAGATGACGACTTACGAGAAAATTTAAAGATTTAACTTACTAAGTCCCGTCTCCCAAGTAGAGTGAGCTATCGACTGCTACCGTTATGATGCACACGAGAAGAGGCAAACCTGTAAACAACATTTAATTTCAGAAAGACTAAAGAATGTGTTTAGATCAATGAAAAAATGAGTGAAATCAATATACATGTAGTTGAAAAGGTCCAATTTCCTCGGGAAGATTGACTTCTCGCTGCCTGATTGTTAACTTATTTCCAGTATTCTAAATTTTGCGAGCTCGTAAAAATTTGACATCTTATAATAGTGGCAATTATTTTTTTCTCGTCAAATAGCTTAACACTTCCCGGATTTGAATAAGGAGGCATTTGCCCGAGGTGGTAAAATAAATCGTAGGACTTATGATACAATGGGATGTAGGACTATCTATGCTCTGATGACTCTAATTGAATTCCTAACTTCAGCCCTATTTGCGCTGGGGCAGTAACCACTAAGTTACATGTCCTTTGAAATTTGAAAATAATAATAATAATTGTGTTTAAACAGGAATTTTTGTTTATAAAAGGAAATTTTCATCAGCATCAATGCTGTTCTTCTGGAGGGTCGTGCAATTATTAACTTAGTCTCCCTAGCAATTGCCAGATACCCATTTACACATGGTGGAGAGTGGTAAGTGCGGATTAATGTCTTGTCAAAGGACCATAATGCTGGGATGTAATTTGAACCCTAAATCCTAAGATTGCGAGTCAAGTAAACAACCCTCTATACCACGACACCTCCACATTATTTGTTTTAGTAGACCAAGACACTCACCATAAGCAAAAAACGCGGCCTTGAGCATAAAACGAGAGACGGTGGCGTTTAAGACCTTGACGAAGAGGAGGTACATATTGATAGCTTCCACCAACATCCACGACATCGACGACAGCAGAAAGAAATGGATGAGAAAACCGACGACCACGCAACCCGCGGTCGGGTATCGGCGGTCGATACCGATGACGAACACGAGATAGAGCCCGAGGAGCGCGAAGCAAAGGTTGATCAGGATCTGCTGAGGTTGTTTCGAGCGTAGTTTTCTGTTTATATTGAAAAGGGTGATCAAATTTGATTATCAATATACGTTTACAGTTTGTATAATTATACAGGCCGACATGGTGGCTGCATGGTCCCTGAAAAAGAACATGTAACATGTGAATTTTGTCTTTCGGGGTCCGTTCTTAAGGACCGAATCGTAAAATCGAAAATAAAACCATGTAAAGCTTTGAGGATTGGGAACAATCCAACAAGATTTTAACATATATTTTAGGGAAAAGATTGTCCAATTCCGAAATTTTCGCAAGCGAAATACAATAATTATCAAGCATAACATGTGCTGCCAAATTCCTCCCAATTAACTCAGACTTACACCCATAAAGTGTTCTTGTGGCATATTGATGAGACGGTAGAGTGCGTTTTAAAGGGCAAGTCCACTCCAAAAAATAACTTACTTTCAATGGAAGCAGAAAACTCAGACAAACCAACCAAAAAAGTTTGAGCAAAATCGGATAACTAATAAGAAAGTTATGAACTTTTAATGACAAGAAAAACTTTGAAAATCACAAGACAAATTAGCAACTCACTCATGAATCTGTGACGTCATGTCCTCACTATCCACTAATTATTTTCTATATATTGATAATATGAATTTCCTATTTTCTCCCTAAGAATCTTATTTCTTCAAACCAGCATCCACCTAGATTGATAGTAATATGTTTTTGTGTGGATGCATTTATATAGAGTAATATTTTTCCAGTTAATTCATGAAAAATGGGAATTTTGCTAAAAAACATTTACATAAAAATCAATAATTATGAGTATACAATATTCAGAAAATAGTCTCAATTCTTCAAAGTTCATGGAAGTTTTTTTGAAATGTCATGCACCCAATATAAAACAAGTCATATAACCTGGGCAAAGGCATGGGGAAAATCAAGTTTTAGGGGATAAAAAGGGAAATTAATGGGATTAAACTATATAAAGCAATTGATAAATACATGTAGTGAGGACATGACGTCACAAACTGATAACCAAATTGGCAGTTTGAGTAGTGATTTCCATTTTTTCAATTCAATTCAATTAAATTATTTTATTCCTCCATATTCACAAGAAAACATGGAAATTAGTTTTGGTCACATATTGTACAAATACATTATACATAATTATATGAGAAACTATATCGTTCCATAGTTTTACATACTTTTTCAAAAATGCTTTTTTAATTTTTTTTTATTAGTTATCCGATTTTGCTCAAACTTTTTTTGATTGGTTTGTCTGATTTTTCTGGTCCTATTGAAATTAACTTTTTTTTTGGAGTGGACTTGGACTTTAACAAGTGATTATGACCTACAAATGCAACATGTTAAAGTCGCAAAATATCATGTACAACTAGAAAGTTGTATATGATATTTAGCGTTAAAAGGGCCAGACTCGATTAGCACAAATTCTCATTTATTTCACCACTATCAAATATTACTCCTTTCCATTAACAACAAAATCTTGTAGTTTTTTTTTTCAAATCCAGCCAAATTGTGTAGAATTACCACCATTTTTGTTAAGGATAATAATGCTATTAATGAAAATCAATCACAAGTTATTAAATCATATCAAAGCCATTGAATGAGTAACCTCTTCCAAAAAAGTATAATCATTTTAATACGTACTTGAAATGCGAAGAGGAATTTTGGTTTCCCATTTATTTAGCATTCTTTGAGTAGTAGATGACAAACGAAGATACGATAGATAGGTCGAATAGATCAGGGAGGTGAAAGAAAGGAGTCGAAACTCTTGTAATTTATTGAAACGCATTCGTGTGTTCTAAAGCGTAACAATGGGATGTGTAACATTTCACTTGGCTTTGAAGTTCCATGCTCCGAGCCGATCTTTCACTGCGGGGAATTTTGGAGGACAGGCACCAGTTTCACATTTATTACAAAATATTAAACTACCGGCAAAATCTCAGTGTAAGTCATAAACTTTATATGGTGATTGTATTGGGAATAGTGCATCAGACAATTTTTCAGATTTAGTACTCCGTCCTTCCTATAATTTGTGTGCCAGAGTTGGTAAAAGAAAAATTATATCCTGACAAAATCTCCATTTTTTAGGATAATGCGCTAATTTGTGCATGTTTTAATGTCCTGTTATTAAATCCATGATTTACAATCTTCGATAAGTTTAAGTTTGCTTATGCGTGTTTTCGCGTGTTTTTGTATTTTTGCAGTTGGAAAAAAGGGGGAAATTACACAAGTTTGTGTTCGCTTGTTCTACTCGTTACACATTCAACAATTGATGAGAAATCATCGAAAGGGACAGCGAACAGTTGCTGGGATACCATTTCCTGATGTAGGAATTCTAAATCCGGATATTTCATGCGCTCTTTTATCTCACCATCTGGTCAACAGTTGGATATTAACGCATAACTTTTCGGCGGCTCGGAGCATGGGGTCAAAGGGAAGCGGATTGAATCCACTCCTTTCTTTCACCTCCCTGGATAGATTCTGTCGAACTTATTCCAAGTTGACAGGTTTTCCGATTTCGTTCAACAGCTGCTTTAGCCTCGTCACATTGTCTGGCGAAATATGACCTCTAGAGCCGATTTCCAAAGTAAAATACACCACAGAATATCCATTAGCGTGAATGTCGGTAGCTTAGGGGGCATATTTTTTTTGATTTATATTCATGTGCATTAACTACATTCGTTTCAGAGAGAACTGACGATTCAAGTATGAGAATTTTCTTTAAGTTCTTCCAAAAAACACAAATGTCTGGGATGAGGTTGGTTTGAGTAGACTCTAGTGGAATTGTGGAGATGCCTTCTTTTGTCCATCGCTCTACATTCACGTCTGTGTAAATTATAGTGTCGCTAAGAGAAGCGATGCCTCCTTGAATAATTTCGGCAAGATACAAAAGTACGTTGTCATGGCGCCAAGTATAGCGTCCCTCGTCAAGTGACACATGGCATGCGTTCAATACATGGTGTACTGATTCTCTATTTTTTTACAGTTTGCTGATGCCAACTCACCAGTTACATGGTTCCAAAGTTTATTCAATAAAATCATAAAATTAACCTAAAGTAAAATGCAGAATGGAGGCAGAAAGTGCAAGTTTGCAAAGGCTACAAAGCCATGTCATGCCACCATTTTGCAAACTGTATTTGATATAAATAATGCTTTGATTTAAAGGATATTGTTCAAAATACTGCTTCAAACCCGTTCTTAACCTCTTCTCAAGCTCTGCAATCAATCAAATATTACACAAGTATGTAAAATATTGAAGTTTGATGAGACAGAGGGGATATTAGGAAAGATTACTTACTTCATGCTCAGATAGGTAACAAGTGTGATCACTAGGCATATGATGGAGATGATACAGCCGATCATGCCAAACACATCTAAAACGTAGAGGCCCACATCTCCTGATACATCCTACAAATAACGAAGGAAGCATTGCAAGAGAGGGAGAGAGGGAGAGAGGGAGAGAGGGAGAGGGTGGGAGAGAGAGAGGGTGGGAGAGAGAGGGAGAGGGTGGGAGAAGGGAGAGAGGGAGGAGGAGAGTGGAAAAGAAAGAGAGAGAGAGACATAGAGACAAAATTAATCACCTACAAATACAATTTTTTTTTACTCTATATTAATGATCTTTCCAATTGCTTATCTCTTCTTAAACTTGTACGTTTTCCTGATGATACCAACATGATTAGTCGTAATGATATTACACAGTTACAAATTATGCTTAATACTGAACTACAAAATATATCTACATTGTTCAATTTAACTAAGCTATCTATTAATGTAGCAAAACTGTATATATGTACTTCTATAATTTAAAAAGTAACGAAAATTGTTTATGTACATAGTTATCTATTGCAAAAAATATTTTAATTCAAACCTTTGGCACAGCGTCGACAAGTTCAAATTTATTTAAACTTTTGCAGTGACCCAAATTCCATTTGATTTATTTACCTTTAAATGTACTGATCAGTGACCTTCTGATGTTTGTATAACTTGTATTTCTTTTACTTTTTTAACACTTTAATTATCTTTTATATACATATATGTTTTTTATTGAATAAAATGAATACATCTTGAATCTAAATCTTGAATCTTGAAACTCACGACCTTCGTATCTCTGGTAACATTTTAAAACCATTTGTCTACGCCGCCTCTGTTTCGACCTATTTTAAGATTAAACATCACACTCTGGTGGATATAATGTTCAATTCTGTACCGCTGTAATGACCAGGCCTGAAATCTACACCTTGAAAATCCATTCATGGCAGAGAGGTGAACAATAGTACAATGGATAGTAATAACCGCGATATTTCACGGTATAATGTACGATAGTGGTTCTAATACCGAGAAATATTCCACAGCGACACATCTAACAGCTAACTGTTTTTTCCAAATATTTATTACATGTCCTTTTTTTGTTTTAAAGGAAATTAAATGACATGAAAAGAAATAATAATAATGTACCAGTAAAACGGCAAAGCTTGTCAGGTGATCGCAAAGACATCGTATCCTATTGTTGTCGGGGTTGTCTTCTCGTCGACATCCTTCTGACGACCATCGGCCACCTTGATCAGTCTTATCCCAGAACACACACGTCCTGTTATCCACCGCCTCACTGTCTCGAGTCACCTGTATGGAGCAGGACGAAGCAGACAAACATTACAGGGGCGGATCAAGATTTGTTTTGTTTTTTAAGCCCCACTGTCCTACTTGTAGCTACTTGCTCCCTCTATATAGAAAACTTCCCCAATCGGTGCCTGTTGGTCCCCCATGATCCTCTTTTTCTTATGTTTGTTGAGAGCTGAGTTAATGAGATAGCCACCTGTCAGTGACCTCGCTGTGTGGTCTAATCCCTTCTGGCCCAGTAGTATTGAGGGTCTTTAAAGGGGTGAAATGTTGAACAATATATACAGTAATTTTAGGGGCGCTTTTCGTTTGGGGTTTCTCTATTGTTCCCTAAACCCACCATCATGCAACGTGCTGTCATTGTTTAGTTTGCATATATTTCAGGTTGACAATGATCGAGCGCATGTATCAAAAAGTAAGACCCGGCTTATGTTTAGCCGGTGTTCAGCCAAGGGTCAAATTTGGAGTTTGTTTGAAATTGACGCTCAACTGAACAACCGAGCAGTTTTCTACACAAGCAAATGAGTGCATGTTGGCCGTACCACATGCGTGCTTGTCTCTGTTTCTAGGGGCCTATAATGCAATAATAATCGAGGCTTGTCATATACATATATAAATATATATATATGACCTCGTGTGGACAGGGCCGTAAACCCATTACATACGAGTCGTCAGCGAATAGTGCGTGGCCCTCACTGCGCGGCCTTGAACGGGCTGCCATGTGAACATGACGTCGTACAAAGAGAGAGTGTTATTTAAAATGAGCAGGACAGATGTGCTATGACTGCATGTCCAGTGGCGGATCCAGGGGGGGGGCCGAAACGGCCGCGGCCCCCCCTATTGGCGGCGCAAAAAAAAGGAAGAAAAAAAGAGGAAGAAAAGAAGAGAAAAAAAGAAAGGAGAAGAGGAGAAAAAAAAGGAGAAGAGAAAAGAATGGAGAAGAGAAAGGAAAAAGAAGAGAAAAGAAAATAGAAGAGAAAAGATGAATAAAAAGCCCCCCCCCCCCCCCCCCCCCCCTCCCCCCTCCCTCCAACTCCGGGGTCGGAATACACAAAAATCCGGCCCGTACTGACTTAACACACCGGAGACAGAAGGGTGCTTTCAAAGAGAGTGAACATACATGTGCATACTCTAGATAACACTGAGGGGGTGAGGGGGGGGGGGGGGTGGGGAAAAGAAAAGTCGATGAGAAAGGGGGAAAGGCAAGGAAATGGCGCTAAGTGACAGTAACGACAAATATGGGAAAACTGTAATCGGGAGATTAGGGGACATTTCAGAAGGCTCATTGGCAAACGTTATTGAATAGAGGGGGGCCGGGCCGGCCGCATAAAATCTCGAGCCGCGGATTCAAAGTTAAACGTTAAGAACAGCCCCTGCGGTCATCATTCTTTAGTGAGAAATTTGAAAAGGGCACAATATTTTGGATGTCTTTTAAATAGAAGTTATATACTCAACAGTCAAATTTTAAATTAACGGTAGGGCCGCTTCACAACTCTTATTTTGCCCTTCATTTGGATTCAGCTCGTATCGACTCGCTTGTGATTGTATTAGAACTCATGTTGGTAGTAATCGTGGACAGGGGCGGCGATCCTGGGCCCGATAGGGGAAAAGTCTCCCAGAAAATTTAGAAATATAGCTAGAAATAAATATAGCGGAAAGAACGTACATATCGGGCTTAGGGATTTTTTAGAATGCATAATTTCAGCATTCAACATTGCAAAATCTCGCTTGCATGGTCGCTACGCCCCAGCCCCGGCCCTCGCCCGATAACACAAAATTATGACGCTCCCGGCCGTGATTTATCCATGGTAGGTGTAATAGAGAACGGTACAACAAATCGTCTTCTTTCTCCAATAATTTAATGAAATGTCAAAGCTTCCGCGCATCGCTCGGGAGGGGGGCAACTGAATTCAGACAAGGATTGGGAGTCGAGAATGGTAAATCGAATCATCTTCTTTCTCTAATAATTTAATGAAACGTCAACGTTTCCGCGCTTCGCTCGGGAGGGGGGGGGGGCGGGAACTCAATTCAGACAAGGATTAAGAGTCGAGAACGGTACAACGAATCGTCTTCTTTCTCTAATAATCTAATAAAACGTCAAAGCTTCCGCGCTTCGCGCGAGAATGGAGGGGGGGGGGACTCAATTCAGACAAGGATGAAGAGTCGATGACGGTGCAACGAATCATCTTCTTTCTCTAATAATTTAATGAAACGTCAACGTTTCAGCGCTTCGCGTGGGAGGGGAAAAACTAAATTCAAAGAAGGATAATAATTTAATAAACCGTCAAAGCTTACGCGCTACGCGCGGCCAAGTGAAAACTTAATTCAGACAAGGATTAAGAGTCGAGAATGAAAAAATAATTCGTCTTCTTCCTCTAATAATTCAATAAACCGTCAAAGCTTACGCGCTACGCGCGGCCAAGGGAAAACTTAATTCAGACAAGGTTAAAGAGTCGATGACGGTACAACGAATCATCTTCTTTCTCTAATACTTTAATGAAACGTCGAGGAGGGGGGGGGGGGGGCGGGGACTCAATTCAGACAATGATTAAGAGTCGAGAATGCTACAAAGAATCGTCTCCTTTCCCTTATAATTTAATGAAACGTCAACGTTTCCGCGCTTCGCGTGGGAGGAGGAAAACTGAATTCAAAGAAGGATTAAGAGACGAGAATGGTAAAACGATTCGTCTTCTTCCTCTAATAATTTAATGAACCGTCAAAGCTTACGCGCTACGCACGGGCAGAGGAAAACTGAATTCAGACAAGGAAGAGTCGAGAATGGTACAAAGAATCGTCCCCTTTTCCATATAATTTAATTAAACGTCAAAGCTTAAGCGCTACGCGCTGGAGGGGGGGGGGGGGGGACGGGAACTGAATTCCGACAAGGATTAAGAGTCGAGAATGGTACAACGAATCATCTCCTTTCTCTAATAATTTCATTAAACTATGAAAGGCCAAAGCTTCCGTGCTTTGCGCGGGAGGGGGAAAACTGAATTCAGTCAAGTAATAAGAGTCGAGAATGGTACAACAAATCGTCTTCTTTCTCTAATAATTTAATGAAACGTTAAGCTTCTGCGCTTTGCGCGGGAGGGGGTAAACTGAATTCAGAGAAGGATTAAGAGTCGAGAATGGAACAACGAATTATCTTTTTCTCTAATAATTTCATTAAACTATAAAATGTCAAAGCTTCCGCGCTTTGCGCGGGAGGGGGAAAACTGAATTCAGAGAAGGATTAAGAGTCGAGAATGGTACAACAAATCGTCTTCTTTCTCTAATAATTAATGAAAGGTCAAAGCTTCCGCGCTTCGCGCGTCATTGGGAAGGGGGGGGGGGTTAGCGAGCTATCTGCATATGATTTTTTGATATCTTTTCTCGTTTATTTTGGTTATAAATAACACTTTCACAAAATACATATTTTGCTCAAATTGTTGCTCGCTCGCTTCGCTCACTAGCCGAATTGTGAAACCAGAAAGTTACTTTTTCGGATAAGAGGCTATAGCCCACCCCCCCTCCGATGAAAATGTCAAAAATTGTAATGGTATGGTGCTTCTAATATGACCATGAAAAAAACGGTCGGCGCAATTTTCAAACTTCCGGCCCCCCCCCCCCCCCCCCTATTGGAAAAATCCTGGATCCGCGCCTGATGTCGTATGTGCAAATCGCTTACATAGGCCCGATTAATTGTTACGATAGGGAAATGATGCCGTGTGTGCAATGGCCATAATATCTGTTACACAAAGGCTTCATTTGCCTGACGCACGGGGGAAATAATTAGGGACTTTTAGATTTGCGTGGACTGATACGTGTGACGTCCATTCAAGGCAGTGCATTAAAAGGACGTCGATCGTAGCAATTCACGTTGCCGTTGTGCAAATCTAAAAGTCCCTAATAGTGCAGGCAATGACGTAATCGAAATAACACCCCGTGTGCAACTTGCATTAGCGTAATATCGTAGCCCTTTGTGTTTTATATTTGTAAAAGAAATTGTAGATTGTATTTTATATTGGCTCTTATAAAATTAAAGTATACAAATAACGTGTTGACAATGAATGAATCCTTTCAGATTGATTAAAGCTCGCAGTTTTGCCGCTGCTCTTTTTAATGAAGCAAACGAACTCACATTCAGTTCGAGGAAGGCTGTCTCCACTTCACCACCCTGCGGCAAACCTTGAATGACCGCACCCTCCACGGTCGCTGATATGACCCGGGTGCCGACCGCTAGTCGACGACCACCGCCGAGGTCGTATTCTTGGTCTGAACTTATGAAGATCTTACTGGTCTGGAATATGAAGAAAGTCACTGGAACAGTTCCATTTTCTGCATGGTAGGGAAGATGGGAGAAGAATTGCTTTTCAGGGATTTTCAAAAAGTGGTGTTCGTGTGATTCTAACTTGTATTTTTTTTTATATTGGTCAATGGTGACACGTTTTGCCCATTATCTCAGATGTCAATATTACTGAGTAAGTTAACGTTTTCGGTCTGATATGAAGAACGTGTCTCGCCAAATGGATCCGCGCTTTGAATACTGTTTGCTTACCACTATATTTTTTAAATAATTTCAAATTGATTTCATTAATGTTCATTGGATCGATTTGAAGGGAACACAATTTAAAGTCCATGATTGTAGTTTAAACTATAGTTAAGGGACAGTTTAATCATGCAATTGTATCTAATGTTTGGGTTTTTAACATGTAGTGTTTCGCACCTAATAAATATAGAGGCAACAGTCCAAGAATGTCTGGTGGCAAAACAACAGCTGCATCGATTGTTGTCTTTGGAATGTTGTCTGGGTTGAAGTACACCATCGTTTTATTTTCATTCAGCTCGTTGAGCACTTCACTTTTCTCTTCACCGTCCGGCGATGCCAGGGTAGCGAATCCTAAGCCTTCCAACAGACTGGCGTTCGGGAACTGGAGGGCCACCACAGCTACGCTCCTTCCGACGATGGTGAGGTTGTTGGCGTCGCCCTTGGTCTGGAAGAGGGTGATCTGTTGCTCTAAGAAATCGAGAATCCTCGTCGGAGCTTCGACGTCTACGGAGTTTACGAACTCCTCGTCGGGAGCACCGAGAGCGTTGTCGACGATCTGGAGGGTATTGTTGGTGACCTGGTAGAAAACAGGTAATTGATTGATTTTCCTAACCCGAAATGAATTAATATAGATATCTCACCCAAGGGCACTAGCTCTGATTGGAAACCCTCACAGTATTAATCTTAAAATATTCAAGTTTATTGGACATCCATTGAATCAGGCGCGCCAGAAGCAGTTTGGGATGGGGGGGGGGGGGGGGGGGGAGGGGGGCAAACATTCCAGGCGGCTCACATTCCAGGGGCAGTGACGTAATGAGAAAAAAAATTCGGAAGGGGGGGGGGCCGACGAAAAATCTGCATCACCACCAGTCGTACACGTTACATGCAGGTCCCGCGGAACGTTTTTCAAAGTGGAGTATTATCGATCAGGTAGAGCGTAAATTGGCGTGGGGTCCAGGGCATGAGCCTCGGCAGGGGGTCAAGGGGCTGAGCACCTGGAAGCTCAGGGTTTTAGGTATTTAATTACGGTTAGATGAGCATCCAGGGGCCCTCTGTAAGGCAATTGATATGTTCCAAGGAGGGGGAGAGCCCCCAAAAGCTCAGAGGTTTTAGGTATTTAATTACGGTCAGATGAGCATCCAGGGGGCCCGCCTTAGGGCCCTTGGTGGGGTTCCAGGGGGCAGAGCTTCCGGAAGCTCAGGGTTTTAGGTATTTAATTACGGTCAGATGAGCATCCAGGGGCCCGCCTTAGGGCCCTTGGTGGGGTCCAGGGGGCAGAGCCCCCGGAAGCTCAGGTTTTTTTTAGGTATTTAATTACGGTCAGATGAGCATCCAGGGGCCGCCTTAGGGCCCTTGTTGGGGCCCAGGGGGCAGAGCCCCGGAAGCTCAGGGGTTTTAGGTTTTTAATTACGGTCAGATGAGCATCCAGGGGCCCGCCTTAGGGCCCTTGGTGGGGCCCAGGGGGCAGAGCCCCGGAAGCTCAGGGGTTTTAGGTTTTTAATTACGGTCAGATGAGCATCCAGGGGCCCGACTTAGAGCCCTTGTTGAGGTCCAGGGGGCAGAGCCCCCGGAAGCTCAGGGGTTTTAGGTTTTTAATTACGGTCAGATGAGCATCCAGGGGCCCGCCTTAGGTCCCTTGGTGGGTCCAGGGGGAGGAGCCCCCGTAAGGTCTGGGGTTTTAAGCATTTAATTACGGTCATGAGCATTTTTTATACCTTATTTGTGACATTGGCAGGTCACTTTTTTCTCCGTCTTTCTTTCTTTTTCTCTTTAACATACTTTTTCAAAAAGGGAGGGGGGGGGGGGGGCTCGAGCCCAGCCACTTTGCAAATCATGACATAAAGGCTTCTTAATAAACGTATTTCGCCTGACTGTTTTTTGGGACTTTCTTATTTTCCAACGAACGCATAAAAAGTTATGACTGGAGAAAAAAATGACGGAAAATCATGTCAGAACATCAACATTTGTAAATCACTTGTTTCGACAAAGAAATACATCACATCCCTCCCCCCCCCCCGCCCCTCAGTACGCCCGCGTTCAGGGGCTCATGTCTTCTCACCCCTATAACAAACAAAAAAACGGACACGCTTTCCCATTCTCGAAAAATATGTCCACGATATGCGCATATCGCTATTTTAGAGACCTCCATTGATAAATATCGTATAAGTGGCATGCGCAATGTTCATGAAATTTAATTCCTGTAAACTTTCCTTTTTCTTTGAATAGAATTGTAATTGTGATTTAATTAAGGTTTTTTTTATTATTGTTACGTTCTTTTGGATTAAAAATACAAACCATGTTTACTCCTTTACTATTTTTTTTTTTTTGGAGGGGGGGGGCGTTTTTTTTTTTTTTTTTTTTGGGGGGGGGGGCGTTTTTTTTTTTTTTTTTTTTGGGGGGGGGGCAAAAATGCGTTTTGCCCCCCTCCCACTTTTTTGACTGGGGGGGGGGGCAGTTGCCCCACTTCCGGCGCCTATGCATTGAATTATACTTCTTTTTATTTGGGTGGGTTGTGTTACAAAATACAATATAAAGTTATAAATTGATGGACAAAGTCGTAAGAATGGCTTTCACATGGTTAAAATGTGTAATGTGTAATGACAGAACTGATTCATAATAATCATGATAATAATTGTGTAAAGATAGTGTTCCGGCGACAATAGATTAACAGTTAATAATCAAAATCCTAAATTGAACCATGGATCCAACACAAAACCTAACTTACCTTTATCCTATAACCATTAACCTAATCTAATTCTCATCGTAACCTATGCAAGCCCTAAAACAAAAATATTTGAAGTCGCCAACAAATATTATGTCAGATCACGGAAAATCTGTGTTATTACCTCTGTCGATGAGTTTCCGGCGTTGACGATTTTCTCCAGAGCATCGGAAATGGCTCGGAGACCTTCCGCGTTGATATCGGTGACATTCGCGGTCGCTTCAGCAACGTAGTAAGAATATTCGGTCACATTCTCTGATGTCACAACTGCCTGTAATTGGAGAGAAACATTACTACTCAGAAACGGAGTCATATCTTACAAGAGGGTAAAATCCGGAAAATAGAATTGGAGAGGCCAATTTTGGTCGTGTACTTGAGGGTTGCTACCAGTTGGACACAGGGCAAGGGAAACGACCGGCTAATTGTGCCCCCCCCTCCCCTCTCATTCGCCGCTGCCTACCATCCTTTTTAAATACGTGGAGTACATTCGCGTAAGTGTGCCACATGACAAAGTTCAGTTTTGATGAACAATGATACAAAATAATTATTATTCGCTAGGGCTTTGACAAGGTAAACACGTAAAGACGCGAGCAGCTCGATATTGGGACGGAAGGCACGCAGTGCATCATTTTAAGCCGAATTAACGCTCACTCCACCAATCTCTCTCTCTCTCTCTCTCTCTCTCTCTTCTTCTTCTTCTTCTTCGCCCTCCTCTTCTGCTTCATCTACTACTACTACTACTACTACTACTACTACTACTACTACTACTACTACTACTACTACTACCACTACTACTACTACTACTACTACTACTACTACTACTACTCATACTACTCCTACTATGACTACTACTACTACTACTACTACTACTACTACTACTACTGCTGCTGCTACTACTACTACTACTACTTCTACTACTACTACTACTACTACTACTACTACTACCACTACTACTACTACTACTACTACTACTACTCATACTACTCCTACTATGACTACTACTACTACTACTACTACTACTGCTGCTGCTGCTGCTACTACTACTACTACTACTTCTACTACTACTACTACTACTACCACTACTACTACTACTACTACTCATACTACTCCTACTATGACTACTACTACTATTACTACTACTACTGCTGCTGCTACTACTACTACTACTACTACTACTACTACTTCTACTACTACTACTACTACTACTACTACTACAAGTACTACCACTACTACTCATACTACTCCTACTATGACTACTACTACTACTACTACCACTTATCGTCCTCTGAGCCAACCTGCATCTCGGTAGTAAATTTCTTGCAATATGCAAATGATAAAATGAGAGCGTATGAAATAAATTATAACTTAATTTCTTACCCTTGCAATGTTTTCTAGAACCTCATTAGTATCTTCTCCCTCAACGCAGTCTTGGAACACGGGATCATCCCAGACAGCTGATGATAAAAGATCCCCACGACATGTCCGTCTAGCTCTTGGTAGGGGGGCTGCAATAAATACATATTTTTGTACATGATTTTAAGTAACTAATTGACCTAATCGAATGAGGAAAGGAAGAGAAAGAAAGGGGAAAAAAATAAAGGAACAGGAAACGAAGGGAAAATAAAATGCAAAGAAGATGATATGCATTACCTATAAAGACGAATCCGACTGACCCCCTATCAAAACACCACATCATTGTCCGAATATTAGTCCTTTCAAAATTCAAAATTATCAAGGGGCTGCAACCCCCTCCTTCGCCTTATATGCCCATGCCTAGAGATTTTTTTCAAATTATTAAGATTAATTATGATAAATTTCATTAAATATGCCTAGATAATATATGTGATGTGACCAGGGATGTAGCTACAGGAGTACGGTATCAACGAAAGGGATGACATGACTCTATTCAGGCCCCTCATCGATGACCTTGTTACTATGCCTAGTTAAATCTCATTTGCCATCCACCAAGTAAGGCCGATCGATGCCACCCCCCCCCCCCCTCAATGGCTAACACAATGCTACATCTCTGATCATCGACTTACTGTTGTTACTGTATTCACTACACCGTTCTTGGCTGTCAGCGGTCTGGTCCAGAGGTGTAGCGAGGAAGTTCAGGGTTCCAAATGTACCCGTGACAACCGATTCCAGGCAGGACGCTAAGCATGTCATTTAGAAAAAGGGAATGTGTTTATTAACTTGGGACAAATTGATTGGATTTACTTGAGGTAAAATTGATGAAACTCAATTGTTTAAATAACTAAAAAGAATATTCAGCAGCAGTTATTTCGGGAGTAAGTTGCGTCCCAATACTACTTCATGGTCTCTTATTTCAACACTCGAGGCGTCATCTCGATTGCGTCACTAGAGACTTTTAGATTTGCACGACGAGAACGTAGACTGCTACGTGGTCATCCTTTTAAGGCAATGTGACGCAGTGTGGCTTAAAAGTACGTCACATTGCCTTAATAGGATGTACATGTAGCAGTCCACATTCTCGTCGTGCAAATCTAAAAGTCCCTATTATCTGCCCTTATTACCCCCTCTGAAGGCCATTAGCTCATATACGCTGGTAATACATCGCACTGTTAGCACTGTTAATTTCGCCTTCACTGTTTGTACAATGTGACTCTCACACTGTGTGTCAATGTGACTCTCACAATATGCGTCAATGTTACTTTCACACCGCGTCAAAGACCGCGCCAGTCGTTGATCCAGTCATACGTCAGATAAATGACGCCCCGTGTGCAATGGGCAAACACCTTACTATTTTGATGTTCAGTCCAGATTATTAATTAATATTAGTGCAATGATAAAGTTGTATCATCCATACGGATGATGACTAAAGCAGGCAGAGCTACTTCAGTAGCCGACACCTTCCCAATAGAGGTTTTACTGTCGTTTTATTTCTATGTTTTGACCCAGAATCACTGGAACGTTTGATTCTATTTATGTTGCAGCAAATTGTGCTGTCCGTCATGGTTCTTGAATAAGAGCGATTTAATAGAAGATAATCACTGAAGTATCGGAATAATGTCTTCACAAAGGGCGTTTAATAGTAGCAGGTTGGGATTCGAACCCTCAATCCTTGGATACTTCAGTCAAGTCAATGAACCATCATACCCCGAAACCTCCACACCCTTCTAGATTGGAAATTATTACCAGCATTTTGGTAAACGTTCAGGACCTGTGAGATATCTAAAGAGAATCTTCAGCACCAATTTAAATATACGGCCTATAATTCCACGCGCTCATCCAATGTGACTCGTTTTACTCCACTATGCAGGAGTGTTTCGACCTCTAATCCCGTTCTTTCAGATTCAAATATGTCTCTTGCGACTCTGAGTTAACAGTTTGTCTGAGCAGAATAAAGATTGGTAGATTTTTCGTTTATTTGTTTGTGGAACTGTTGTTGTTCCTCATAGATGTCCTCCATTTTTAAAACATTAATACTTCCCTTCTCATATCAACATTAGAAAGTATGAAAATAAAAATAATAATTTAATTTAAACAAATTAAATAAGTGATAGTTGCTTTTTTTCTTCTTGTACTTATATAAAAAAGAGAAGCAATAATCTATTTTCCACTTTTAATTTCGTTAATCTCGGGCTTAAGAATCTCGATGTCAACGAGTTTTAAAACAAAATCCTGATGCCTGTAAAAATTAAAAGAGCGTGAACTGAAACCGAAAGGTTTATACCTTTATACATTATACCGTTTATTTTAGATTCATGAAAAAATGGATCTTTTGTAAATCAAACTTTATGGCATTATATGCACCCACTTCAAGCTTTTTCAGCTTCTTACCTATATTTGGTATTTCATATATTTGAATGTTGTCTACTCTGATGATAGGAGGATAACGACCCCTTCTTGCAATGAATGTAATCTGTAATTATGAAGAAGGAAATAAAAACAGAGGAGAACAAATATGATTTCTCTTTTCGGAAATCTCCTGTAAGAAAGTGGTCTTCAATATTAACAAACCAATTTTTAAAAGTATTTTAAGAGTGAATTAAAGAGATAAATCGATAACATATACATATACTAAATAAAGATCGTACCAGATTAGCTATTCAAAAGCCCGACAATTCTCAACACGTTTTAAAAACATATTAATTTTGTTTAAATTTACTGCTTGTTTATATCCATGAAATCAATAGAAACAAGGTACTGATATATTGTTAAATTTAAATGATAATTAATGTGGTTATGAATTATTATTTTTAATGCTTATTTAGGCCTTTATATAACAACAAAATACAAAAGCGAGATCTATCTTGTGTCAGCATGCTTAAAGCATGCTTGAAGGTACAATATCAAAGAAAACTAGAAAATAATTCCTTGCATTACAAACCTCAACATCCATTTTGCTTGCACATGAGTAAGGAACGACTTCAGTATCTAGCATTGCACCTCCCATACCAGCAAATGCAAATGCAGGTTCAATTGCTTCCCTGCAAACCTTGACCAACAAGTCTGAACCATCCCCCGCAAAGAAGTAGTCAAAAGATAAATTTCCTTGCGGTGATGTGAAATTGTGCGGGATGGAGAATATGAACATGTCACCTGTACTGCTTGTAGACACATCTGCGATTAGAGCCCCTGTATATAGTTTGTAGAAAACGAGTTGAAATGCAAATAGGCCCCTGTATCCATTCGACAGGAAAGTACATTATTTATTATTATTTTGTTATATTTAGTTAAACGCAATGATATTAATTTGGTCCTGTTTATACACGGTAACCACGTATTTCTGCTTTCATTGAGGTCCTTTAATGATTATTGACAGAACATTGTAGTTAAATCTTCGTTGAGAGGGGGAAATGTATGCAAAACACTTTTTCAAAAGATGGAAGTACTGAGCACAAACCGAAACCAGGACATCTCGTATAAGAGTGCTGCCACTCCAACTTCATGATTGACACAACATCGTATTTATACCTGATAACAGAGGAACGCATGTATGCGAAACACCTTGTCCAATGATGTAAGCATTGAGCACTGACGAACCAAGGACCTCTCGTATGAAAGTGCTGCCACTTTATGGTTTTTGCTCGTCGCTCCAAGCCAACAGTTTTTGTGTATGGCATTTGAGAGTGTTGATTGTAATGGTAAAAGAAATGTGATAAAACAACAACATTAAATCCATATGTTACGTATTTGGTTACGTATTCTTCTTTTGTAAATGCGGAATAGTCAACAGAAGATGTGTTTTAAGAAGAGGCAAAGACGTTTCAGTCAATGCCAACAACGTACCTCTGTAAGGATCGTTGCCGATGGTCCAGCTCCCTTCCTCTTCAATGATTCCACATTTGTCCTCTTCAAAGTCACATGACCAATCTTCAAATATCAAATGGATATATATAGGTGATATGCAATGATAGGTGAAACCAGGGATCCATGGTAAAGCACACGTGTACGTATGTCACCATGCTTAAACAAATATCGAGGAAGCATTATTAGGCTAGGAAAGTTATTACTGGATTGTTTGTGATTTAAAATCCCGTTTGCCCCAATTTCCTCATAATATTCCAGAGTTACAACGAACAGGGCTTATAAAGATCATGGCCTTATAATTGTTTTATAAGGTCATTGGTGCGTGCGAAAGTGTGCAAATCAGTAATAACAAATTTCCAGATCACCAAAATCGTCTGCTTTTCAACTTTGCTGCTCCCCATTGGGGATGTTTTTATTTAAGACACTCTTTACAGAGCACACCATCCAAACAAAACCCAAGAGAGGGAAACTGCTCCTTTGTCAATGACCGAAAATGCTTACGCAGTAGTTATTGTTAAAACAGCTGAACGTTTTCATTTAGGTGCACATAATCAGAAGACGGTGACTCTCATTGGATCAAAGATAGAATCACGTCGAATGTCCATCCGTAATAGGTCCATGGCCAAACTTAAATCATTTATTTGAACCTGCCCTGGAAGGGTAATTAATGTGTTGCTAAAGAGCATAACATTAGTCTTATTCAAGTTGAGAGAAAGTTTATTGGCCTGTATCCATTAAAATACAAAATTTAGTTCATAATTAAAAATATTAAGAAACATGTTGGGGTTTTGGTGAAAAAGAAATATATTGAAATCGTCCGCGAATAGGAGGAACGAGAGAACTGTTGATGAGATTTGGAAATCATTGATATAAAGAATATTAGAAGAGTGGGCCAAGGAAGGAGCCTTGTGGTTGCCCGCAATATATTGATTCTGAGTTCGAGTTTTGGTTATTAATGGACACAAACTGGGTTCTACCAGTAAGGTAGCTTCGGAACCACTCCAATGCCTTCCCTCGGATCCCGTAATGGGATAAATTGTAAAGTAGAATCTCGTGGTTAATTGTATCGAAGGCCGTGGAGAAAATCAGCAAAATACCAACAGTATGAGACATACTATCGATATTTTATCAACTAACATTAGGGTCTTTTAGATTTACACGACAAGAACGTGGACCGTCACCTGTGACATCCTTTAAAGGTATTAATGTGACGTCCTTTTAAGGCACTGCCGGGCAGCGTAATTTTTCCCCACTTGAGCTCCGGACCCCAGTATGAACTCATTTGCATACAGCCAATCAGAGCTCATGGGTGGTAAATCAAGTCTTTATTAGAGATCATGTACACACAGCTGATATTATTAGGGCCTTTTAGAGATGTATATAGTCTAGATGTATAATACATTCTCAACCGTGCTCATTTGTGCTCTAGCATGTATATACCTTTAGCAAATTTACTACAGATCTACACCTCTAATAATAATATCAGCTCATGAAATTGCTGTGAAAAGTTATTACTTAGTACTAATTTAAAGTTACTCTAGCAATCAAAGATAGGCCTTATCGTCATCGAAGCCACTATATAGGGACTCATTTCTTAAGATTTTACGGTTGAGAATTTATCATACATCTAGACTATATACATCTCTAAAAGGCCCTAATAATATCATTTTTATTTTGTTACTTCTTTTATTGCAGGAATTCTTAACTGAGAACTATGAACATCACAGCAATTTCTTAAACTGATATTATTAGAGCCTCAGAGAGATGTAGATCTCTAATAAATTTCTCAACCGTAATAAAACCTTTATAAATGAGTCCCTATACTGCTTTGATGACGATAAGGCATATCATTGATTGACAGAATATTTTTAAATTAGTGCTAAGTAAAAACTTTTCACAGCAATTTCATAAGCTGATATTAGAGGTGTAGATCTATAAAATATTTGCTAAAGGTAGACATGCTAGAGCACAATTGAAACTATTTCCCAGCCAAGCTGTGCCATGGACCTATGCACGCACACCATGCGTGTGTGACATAGGCAATGCGCTGTTTGGCGTGAGTTTTGCACCGTACCCTTCCGCATCCGTAAAATCTGTACAAGCTAGTTATTGACAAGATGAGCTCTGATTGGCTGTATGCAAATGAGTTCATGCTGGGATCCGGAGCACAAGTGGGAAAGTAATTACGCTGCCGGGCACGGCCCAGTGTCTTAAAGGAAACCTAACCCCAAAGAATAAATGTAGGTATTCTTAAAAATGAAATAAATTCCTGCCCTTTGATGTAAAATATTCCTTACGAAAATAAATAAGAGATATATAAATGAACATAATTATTCCTGGCATGGTGTGATGCTGTACATGTATCATGCACCAAGCTTTAGTTGGAAAGAATTGTTAAATCAATAACCAAAACGTTTTCTTTTCAGTGAGGAAAAATCATATCTGAGAAGATGGAAATTATATTTGCTGAAAAATAAATAACAGGGGAACAATTGTAACTAAATTCACTTATAAATAATACACTATGGCAGTTGACAAATCTATTTCATTTATGAGCAACCTTTACCCTAGAAGAGCACCAACTTATTTATGCAATTTGCGTTCTGGCAAGTGTGTACAAAGGATAATAGCAGGTGAATGAAATGCTTCATCACCACACACGTCTGGGAAGGAAGCATCCATAAATTTGAATACATAAACCTTAAAACGACTTCGCATAGTACGTCACGTTATCAAGAAAATGACGATGCCCATGTCGTGCTGAGAAACGGCACATTATTCTTGCTTTATACCTCTATCATACACTTTGGTGGGGAATCTTGTAGATTAATGGGCAATAATACGATAAATCTCTCTGAATAAGTAAAGTTATTTCTTGGGGTTCGGTTTCATTTAAAGCTTATCTGTTCTAGATTATAGGAGGGATTTGACTGCCCTGCAAGGTCACTGGACAGGTGGTTATCTCATCAACTCAGCTCATAATTAACATAAGAAAAAGAGGATCATGGGGGACCAATTGTCACCGATTAGGCATTGTTTGTTATATAGAGGGCGCAAGTAGCTACAAGTACTGCAGTGTGCCTTTAACACAATGTTACACGCGGCAGTCCACGCTCTCGTCGTGTAAATCTAAAATTCCCTAGTATTTTTGCGTGCGTGGTTGAATGTCTTTGGCGAAAACCAAATTGATAATTTATTAAGATGTTGCAGGTGTTTAAAGTACAAGTCCACTCCACTGAAAAGTTGAGCTGATTTGATAGACAAAAATCTAAAAAGCCAACATATAACTTGATTTTGGAAAATGGTGCTCAGACTTTTTTTTTTTTTTTTTTTTAAATGAGCACAAAACAAGCCGGTTCTCCCCGACTATAAGCGAGTTCGTAATTAGGATTTGCGCATGGGCAGATCAAGGTCATTCGAACCCAAATTGTAAAACCATTTAGACGAATACTTGTATCGTGCTCATGAAAGTTATGTAATTAGTATTCATTTATGTACCGACAGTACATTTATCTGATACACAGGTGGAAGTATTCTTCTCAAGAGGCAAACAAAAGGTATCCATGAAGCACCTCCATCACTTTGGCAGTGATTATTCTAAAATGCACAGGTGGGAAGTATCCATCGGGTCTAAGATCTGTGGATATTTTGGGGTCATGCGGTCCAGAGCTATTTACGAACTCGCTTATAAATTCATTTGTTGTGATATAGGGCCCTCACAACACGATGTAACCACATTTAATGCATACGTCTTTGTGAGGTGCCTTCATACAAACTATTTCATTCACCTGATAAAAATAATGAAATACTATAATTCTTTTCAGGTGAATGAAATAGTTTGTATAGAGGCACGTCACAAAGACGTATGCATTGAAGTTGGTAACATTACGAAAATAGCCTATTGTCAGAATGTATACTGCTAGCAACTTTGTTGTAAGGAGCATACGTCACATCCGTACAGCAATTCAAATGTTTTTCTCGAAATAACCGAAACAAAAATCGCTCTTAAAAATCACCTGATTGAAGTACGCCGTGATATTTGGCAGTTTTAAAGATAAAGACTAGTTCTGGTCATGCGATTGCGTTGTGAAAGAAACGTTGTGGAATCGATCAGAAAAGGTTATTCATCTAGCATATAAGTATTGGTGTGTACTGCAAGGTTCTGAAATCATCTAAATGATAAGAAATTTGGCCCAGTCTTGGTAAAATTATAAACACTGTACACAGAAAGATGTATATGGGACTACGCGACCACGTGCGCGATATCTATTTGGTCCCAACAGATACAATAATTTACCAAACATTTCATTTAGTAGGTGGTTTCCCGACTTTCACGGCAAAATTTGTATCATCACGTATTAGTCAAAACATATTCTTTCACATGATTGGTAATGAGAACTTCCATTTCATTTTTTTGAGAGAGGGGCGTTTCCAAAACTGGTCTTTACTTTTAACCTTTGAATTTGTTTACAACATGCTATAATTTTTGAAAAAACGGAATGGACTTGGGCTTTAAAAATCGGATGGTGCGAGAATATATTATTTTTCGAGTAATTTGGAAAATGATGTAAGTAAAGATATTGGGCGATAATTGCCTACATCGTCGACATTACCCTCTTTATAAACTGGAATTACCTTAGCGATTTTCATTTTGCTTGCTACTATGCCATCTACCAAAGTCAGATTAAATAAAAAATGTCAATGGACAGACTATTTCAATTAAAGGGTAGAGGGTGGGGTGTCTTTTTGGAGCCCCCCCCCCCCCCCAATAATTGTATAACAATGATTTGTTGTTGTAGAAATGCCATTTTTGGTACAGGGCTTCCTTAAGACCTACTGAACGATATTAGGGTCAGAGCCACCGGCAACTGACTAGTATGGGTACAAGAAATAATGATTGAGGATTTTGGTTTCTCAGAAACGTGTGGAAATAATTATTCGTGGCAGGGTTTTTTACTGGGAAGATCACGCCCTATATTTACAAAAAGAGAGTCAAATGCCTTTGCTATGCCGAGAGGGTCTTTTATTTCGTTTCCGTTGTAGACGACCTTACTGAATTCGATTGTTTTTCTTTTCACCTTTTCTGAGAACATTATTGATAATTTTCCAGGTTGATTTTATGTATTTTTTAAGAGTGGTGAATTGGGTTGAATAATAATAATTTTTTGACCTACGTACTACAGATGTCAAGGAATTATGATAGGGAAAATATTTAAGCTTAGATTCGTCTGCTCTTTTAGATTTATATTTGTAAAAAATACTGTTTTCCGGTTAATGTATCTGAGTAAAGACTTGGAGATCCAGGGGGATCTAGGTACCGTTTTATAACTCGACTTGGAAAGTGATTTCACTGGAATATGGATATCACATGAAGCCATAATTATATCAACTAGCTTGTTATAAGCATAATTAACATCATTATTGTCAAGAACTACTGACCAGTCATTGAGCATCAGACTTGCTCTGAGTCTAGCTATATTCTCTTCTGACATATGACGTGAACCCACTATGATATTCTGAATATCAGGCTTGAATGTGTTAGAAATATGGGGGGGGGGGGGGGTACATGTAAACACTGGGAAATGATCTGATATATCAGAAACTATAACGTCTCGATGCATACAATAGGAAATATTGGAGAACACATTATCAATAAGGGTTGATGCATTATCAGAACTTTGTGTTGGTTTCGTTATACTTGGAAAACAGTGATTTTAAATTCATGATATCCAAGAAATCTCGACAGTGTGGTTTTTCATTATAATTAAAAAGGTTAAGATTAAAATCTCCCATTATTATATAATGTTTATCATTAAATAAAGGTGAGGTTAACATAGATTGTAATGTATCAATAAAATCAGTATAATTTGAGTTTGGTGGCTTGAATATTTCACCGACAAGTATGTTTCTCCCCTGTGGGACATTGATTTCAATAAAAATGCTTTCGATAGCGTCAGTCATAAAAATCAGATCTTCTCTTAGAGCAGAATCCAAGTCATTTTCAATATAGAAGGCCACACTACCACCAGGTCTACTTTTTCTGTTTTTGGGAACAAACGAATAGCCATCCAAAATAAGAAGTGGAGGGGGCGTTTCTGACAATCAAGTTTCACATAAACCTATGACTGAAAAGTAAACATTAAGCACACTTAAAAATAATTGTAATAGATCAAAATTCTTACAGAGACTTCGTATGTTGTGATGTAAGACGGAAACAAATATTTGTTAGCTTGAAGAATTCACGCTTTTTTTAAATCAAGAGGTAAAAGATAATTAGATGATCTGTTATGTTCATCATAACCCAGTTCCATATCAGGCATTTGTAAATTTTAACGATTAATTTCTTCTGAATCAAAGAAAGCCGCGTTTCCCTGGGGTGGTGCACTGTGAAAAAGTTGGGCAATATTTTTCAACACTTTGCCCAACGTTGTGCCAATAGTCAACCCAACCATCTATTGGGCAATATTTTCAAATTGTGCCCAACAGCTGGTCGAGATTTTCCCAACAAGTGGGCTACCGTAGTCGGGCAGTTGAAGGGTCAAATCTTTGCCCAAATTTTGGTCAAAATACGAAACAATTATGCACGTGTGAAGAAGGGTATTTACGTTTACCAATACCACTGGGCAAAATATTGCCCAATAGATGGTTGGGTTGACTATTGGCACAACGTTGGGCAAAGTGTTGGAAAAATATTGCCCAACCTTTTCACAGTGTGTGGAATCATCAGAGTGGCTATACAAAAAAGTCATGAAGCTCATCATTTAGTTAGCGATTGTAAAGGAAAGTTAGACATCATTTACCGCCCCCCCCCCCCCCACCCCGGGGTTGGAATGACCGCATGCGTGTTACCAAAATGCCCGGTAAAGGGGTACTTTTCACGCACCAAGGTCCGGCACGTACATACACAAAATTGACTTTACACACCGGACTTAGGGGGTGGTTTCAAAAGGAGGGAACACGCATATGCGTACCCTAAATAACACTGAGTGGGGGGGGGGGCGGGGGTGCAATTGATATATTGTGGAGGGTGAGTTGAGATTGTCACCAAGACAACGCAGCTTAATGCGTTGGTCGATGACCGAATTATTTGAATCGAGCGATGTCTATTGACAGAGGTATGCATGGTTTTCGTAATTGCTGGGTAGGAACAAATCAAAGAAACTGCCTCACCCGGGCGACCTCAGTAACGTGAATATTGCATTATACTGAGTTTGTTTGCATGATAATGTACAAAGCAAATGCGAGCATAAGGGCAGGTGACACATATAAATACGTAATGAGTAGAGTATTGCTAACATCTTATTCATTGAAACTTGCTTTACAAAATGAGAGGTAATAAAACTTGTTCTGAGCATTGTGAATGAACAAAACATTTTAAGTACGAAAACATTAAAGTAGCCGGTATATCGTAGAAGCATTTTGATACATGCAATGGGAACGGCTGACAAAGCCTCGCAGCGATCGCCAAATCAACACATGAGAATAATTGTAATTCCAAAGTAGACTCAATTCAGATCCCGATCGGCCCCGAGTCCTGTGCAGGTTATCACGAAGATAACTATCCTTTCAAAAATTGAAAGAGAAGGTTGAGTCCTGAAATAGGTTAACAAAAACATTATATCTGAGCAGCAAGCGAGTGTAATTGAAAAGTGCAATAATTTACCTGGATCAACAGCCGAACAGAGTCCTGTGCAGATTATCGCGAAGATAACTATCCTTTCCAAAAAATTCATATCGGCTTGTTTTGAGTACTTAAATTTTAGATAACGACGGACATAACATTGCATAGATCTTTGTTTTGTAGCAGAGTATTATTATGAATTCTCGTCGCCTTCATAATTATGTCAGACTGAATTTGTAATAGTGCAAATATTTGCTCCTGCTTTTATGTAAAATGAAACTCTTGATTTATTCATTTTGCCGTTCTTCTTTTGTCTGTTCCTGTTTGATGGCTTATTCCACAATGCACGGAAGCGCAGTAAACCATGATTGTTTTTGGTTTTTTCCCTGAGTGGTTCTTAGTAATGGGCATTCGACCAACTCGAAAGTGATTCTCTAATGTTTATTGACATGCGATACCAAAATCTCCTTCCTGTTAGACAGTATTTGATTAATTATATATTTCTCATCCACTTTTTCCCTCTCGTCCACCCTCTCTCTCTCACTCTCTTTCCACCCTTCCACTATTTATTCTCACTTTCCGTTATCTGGCTGTCTCACTTTCTCTCTCTTCTCTCTCCTACCGTGATTTTACATTTTGCTAGATTGTTCTGTATATTTTTTACAACGTAAATTGTATCAATGTAATACTAAATACTAAGCATAATTTTTTTGGGGGAAAGGATTCTACTTCCCACCAGTGTTTATGGGCGTGTTACCTCCCCCCTAATAAATCGACACATCAAACAGCTACACAGTAAACTCCAAATTTCTGTCTTGCAAGTTCACAACCTTTTCCTCTTAGGAACATGAGGAAGAACAGCATTGAAGCTGCTGAGGCCTCCATGATGAACTGTTAGCGTAAGAAAACAAATTTAAAAGATTGTTAATTTGCTATCTTTCCTGTGCAATAGTTTGCCTTACCCCGCTGATGCTAATATTTTTTTAAAGAATGACATCGCAAAAAATTGTTGAACTCTAATACCGTGAAGGACTGTAAATAGTTATTTAGTTCCAATTATGTAGTCCTGGAAGTAAGTTGATGTTTAATTTTGAAGGAAGTTGCATGGTTGCATTGTGCTATATCATGCAAGAGCGACTTCCTCATTTAAATTCCACTTAAGCGGGGGTCATTAAATTATAATAAACACGATAATAAAACATTATGATTCGTAAAGGAAACCTTGCTAGGTTAAATAAACTTTAACTTCCGTTTGATGTTTGTTCGAATTGGATAGTCATAATATTTGACGTAATGGTATTAAAAGGATACGAGTGAATAATAAGTACATCATATGTGTTTGCATTATATCTGTAATTGTATTCATTTATATATTGAAGGAAATTCAGAATGATATTTAAGGGTATAAATGAGTTTTTGAATTGTAAATCCTTCGACCCTTTCCAATATTCATATTGCTCCGGTTGTCTCATTTTCGCCAGCACAAACGTAGTTAGTTCGCCGTCTATACAACGTATATAGTAGACGGCCATCGGCGGATCAGACGACATTTGATAGTGATTTTGTATGTGGGATTGCTTTGCTAAATATAAAATACAAAAACCTTTTCCATATCTTTAAACTATCATTGATATCTGATAATTAAACAGTTAGTAAAATAAACCTACCAAACTACATAATACATTGAAATACTGAAAGTAGGGGAGTTTGATGTGGTGCACAATTGCACCCCTCTGTTAATAATCGAATAGTCCATGGTGTGTCATGAATATTCATGTTTTTGCTTACCTCGGCAAAATGTTTGCCTATACTAAATGCAAAAATTACGCTAGATGGGTTGGCTGAAGTGGACATAATGAACCAAGCAGAACTGATCTATGATAATTCATGTCTGTTATCCTTCGTGTGCTTGACCTATAATCTTACAATCGCGTGGTAAATTGCGTCCAAAGTTCGCCTTGTTACACATACGTTATATATGCAATGGCGAGCTTGCGACCTATTTTGATCAAATAACGGTGGGTGAACTTTCAAAAGTCAATGGGACATGAGGGTTCCAATGAAAGAGCTAGTGTCAACGTACGTCGGGGTTGATGTGCTTTTCGTTTAAACCCCCCCAAAAAAGAGTATTTTTAACGATTTTTTAGGGGGCAAAATTCCATAGGTTAACAAGTTTATAGGCTGCTGGACTCTGACGATTGGGGGCGTTGTCAAATGAGACTAAAACGGAGCTATTTGATTAAGTTACTTTAAATGTATAATCCAAAATGCTTGTACCTTATACACATTATTATATATACCATGTATACAACTTTTTTCTCAATTCAAATGATATTAAGTATTTGCACACATCACACTAACAAACTTACAAACATATAAGTATATCTACCTCTGTATTATAGAATCACATGTGTAGGTATACCAAGGAGCCTAATAACTCACTGGGTATACATCATTCAACACACACACACACACACGCACAAACACATACATAACATGAGCTAATATTGGTGCTATTCTACTTTTCGAAACCAACTTGAAATCAAAACCACCTGCGTGTGGGCGTGTGTTTGAGCGGTTGTGTGTGTGTGCGTGTGATTAGAATTCAGTTTTATGCAAAGATATTGTATATTTTTGAGTCGCCGTAATAATTGACAGTCTGCAACATTCTGTAAACTAGATGTTTACTGAAAGTAATGAAAACTCTGAACCGAAATCGAAACTGAAAATCAAGCGCAATTTGATCCTATTGTGACGGAAAACCACTTTAAGCAGGAAGCCCTGTTTCCAGAGTGGAGGGACAGAATGGCTTACTCCACAATACATGGATTCGCAGTAACCCTATGAATGGTTTTGGTTTTACATAAACGGCTCCTGATAACTGGAAAGTGATTTTCTTGTGTTTATTGACATGCGATACCGAAATCCCCTTTTTTTAAATAAAAAATGATAAACTTCCTTAATGTCAGGTATATATTGAAACAACATGCACTTGTATGAAAGGTTACGTTATGGATATATGATCCTTTTGCTCTATAGCTGGGAGGGTGTGTGTGTGTGCGTGTGATTAGAATTCAGTTTCATGCAAAGATATCGTATAATTTTGAGTCGCCTTGATAAGTGACAGTCTGCAACATTCAAACTAGATGTTTACTGAAAGTTATGAAAACTCTGAACCAAGAAAGAAACTGAAAATCAAGCGCAACTATGATTTGATCCTATTGTGACGGAATGCCACTTTAAGCAGGAAGCTCTTTTCGAGAGTGGGAGACTAACAGCTATAATGCTCTCTGGTTTTACCTCCTTAAAGAGGCTTTCTCACCGAGCCTTGCGTAGAGTTGCGTAGTTTTGCGTACGCAACCCTAAGCCGAGCGTCCGTAACCCTACGCTAGCCTATGCACACAAATTAAACATGTTTATTTTTGATCGCGTACCTTCGGCGTAGACACTATACGCAGAAAGTACGCAATTCTTCGCAACACTATGCTACCGTACGCCATCCCTACGCAACACTACGCTACTCTACGCCATGCCAACGCAACACTATGCTACTGAACGCCATCCCTACGCAACACTACGCTACTGTACGCCATGCCTACGTAACACTACGTTACCCTACGTCAGTCCGACCACAGCACACAAGACGATTCCGATGGTGAATGTTTATATGGGTTTATATGAAATGTGAATCATAAGAACTTTTTAATCAGTGTTTCAGGGTGATGAAAGACTATTATTGTTGCTGTGATTATTAATTCATGATAACATGTATCTTTTGGTAACGTCCATGTGTAATAACATGTCAAAGTCTTGTTAAATTACACACTTTAATTTCCAGAGTGTCAGCAGGAGTTTATTGTCAGTTTTTAGGCTGTTTTTTCATTATGGTAATCATTACTTCGTGATTCGGTTAAAGTAATGTAATGTATTTCATTACCCTGAAACACTAATTAACAAGTTCTTATGATTCCAGTTCACCCATAAACCCATATAAACATTCACCATCATCATCGTCTTGTGTGCTGAGGTCGGACTGGCGTAGGCTGGCGTACTATTGCGTAGGCACGGGGTACAGTAGCATAGTGTTGCGTAGGGATGGCGTACAGTAGCGTAGTGTTGCGTAGACCTGAGTACTTTATGCGTACTCTCTGCGTTTAGTGTCTACGAAGGTACGCTGTCCATCTCGCGTACCCATTTGCGTCCCTCCGCCTAAAGCTACGTAGGCCGGGATATAGGGTTGCGTACAATCGGCGTAGTCGGTACGCAACACTACGCAACTCTACGCAAGGCCCGGTGTGAAAGCCCCTTAAGGGGAAGATTGGCTTTTAAACAACCTCTTTGTTTGATTGCTAAATCTTTTCCAACCCTGAGATATTATCGTGCTTCGTAGTATAGAGGGACTCGCTCGAAGAGTATATAAAGGGTAGGATTTTATGGTAAGAATCAGATAAAGAGAGTGAAAGAAAGGTCCAGAGGAGAACCAAGCCACAACAAAAGCAACCAGAGGCTGTGAAAGCCAGGCATCACGAATAGGTAGCACCTACTCGACCACTCGACCCCTTTCGGGGCTGAGGGATTAAAATTCAGAAAGTCATGAACCTTCAAAGGTGCTATCAATCAAACACAAATTAGCAACTCCGTGACATAATCTTGCGAGCTTCCCTTCCATTTTCCTGTACTAAATCTACTACAAAAATTCACATTTTCCCTTAGGAACATTTTCAATCATACATTTACCCTAAATGTGATTATTACAACATGTTGAAAGAAAACACCTGTATGAACAAAGATCTATTCCGTCATCAATTACTAAGAAAATGAATGTTTATGACATTTTACTGAATAGAGCAAATTGATGAGGAACTCGCAAATTACGTTATATTGACGCCAGTTTCACTGATGGCAACTTCATAAATCATAACCTTCCAACTTGTAGTTGGATATTGCTCAAACTTTTCTAATGTGTCCCTCTCATTTTTTTTTAAAAACTAACTTAATATCACAGTGGACTTCCATTTTAGACGCTGTACAATAGTGACTATAATTATCACGACGACAATTTCATGCATTGCAAACTTGGATGTACATCAATTAAAATAGACATGCTATATTTAGCAAGTTCCCTTTTCGGAGTTGACACAAGGTCAGTGTGCAGCAAAATGCTTTTCTTTTTCTACCTTAATTTTGGAGACAAAGTTGGTTTTTACAAATCTTGTAGACATTTCAAACTCGTTATTACAATTATTATCAAAAACATTCTTTTTCTTCTTCTTCTATTATTTTGTTTTCTATTTCTTCTTCTGCATATTCTCCCCTTTCTATTTGTTCTGTTCATGTTGCTCTCACCTCCCTTTTTGTTCCCTCTTCCTCTCTTTCTTTTTATCCTCTCACTCTCTCTCATTTTATCGGACTCTCTTTCTCTGTTCTCTCTCTCTCTCTCTCTCTCTTCCCTTCTTTCATCTTTCTCCCTCTCCCTTTTTTCTCTTTATCCACTTCTTTTCTTCCCTCTCTGTCTGTCTCTAAAGAGAATTTTAAAGATGATAACATGAGTCCTGGAATTTCGCTTAAAAATTGATCGGATAGCAATCAATATTCTGTCTTAATGACTGATTTTAACTAAAAGGTGTGGAAGCTAGACCACCTCACTCGAAGGTCATTTTATTATTATATTGGTCTACAAACCAGTCCTGAAGTTCTGAGCTATCAAGTTTTGTTTCTTCTAACACAAGATGGCGCTGTCTCGAATGTTATTCTTTGGAAAGAGAGAAATCGTCAATGTTGTGTAAGTAACGGGAGCAAACATTACTGTTGTCTGATTGTGACAAGAGTATTATTCCCTTTACTAAAATATTCACTTATAACTTTCATCAATAAACATTCATACTTGTTCACATCTGCATACAAACCAGTTTTTTTAAAGGACGAAATACCTGTGATTGTGATTAAAAAATTTAATATTCGACATCAGCCTAAAATGCACTCATGTTATTTTCCCTCAACCAATAATGTATGAACTATGAAATACAGTCATACCATATTCAGATACAAAGAGCTTCTCTACGAGAAATAGAGCCACGTTCTATTTAACGTATTTAAACACGTCATAATAATGTTTATGCATGATATGAAGATTTATGCAATGTACAAAATACATTTGAAGAAAGTTGCATTGCTCGTTGATCCTTTCATAATTTTCTTAATTATTAGATAACTTTGGAGGAGTTCATACCATACAAATATAATTAATCTAAATCTGATGTTAAATAGGGTTATCCGAAAAAAATTTGGATAACATCCAAAGACAAGTGTATCAATTACATTCTGAATTCATATTTTAACTTTAAGTGAAATTACACAATATCAAGAGTGTGCATTTATTTATCAGTGTATTTATCAACTAATGCTTTTTCTGTTATTAATTTTATGCCCATAATAACTGTTTTAATTTAAAATGTATTGGCTTCTTGTTTTTTTTTTTTTTTTTTTTTTTGGGGGGGGGGGGGTTTATTTTTGTATTTACTGCACTCTCGACACAAAAGCGTTTGCCCTTGAAAAATTTCGCCTCCTGTAATCTTTTTTCACTGTATATTTTCGAACATAATGGAATAGAGAGAATACATATATTAATACTAATATTATCATTAGTCCTAATAATGATGATAATGAGAACATATTTACTAATGATAATAATAATAACAACAAAAAAGGGATTAAAAAGGGAAGGGGAATGACACCTCTATCATCATCATCATCCCAAAAGTATAAGAGTTAGGGTACACTAATAGCTATATAACATGAATAATAACAATAATTACATTTATAGGGCGCTTAATACGGGAGTTTCTGAGCGCAGAAGTAAAACTTTCTAACTCAGTATAATTATTCAACATGTTCAATAGCTTAAAAGCAAAAATAAAATAAAAAGTTACTAATACAATACAATTAAGTTGACTGGAATTAACTACTTGTGTGCGCCTCCAGTATAATTTAACTGATTATCTTGTTGTAATTTCTTCCTCCATACCTCAATGCAAGTTTCATATACTATATACATGTAGAATGAAATACGAAACATGGAGAGGTAAATCCATTTTAGAGGTGAGGATGGAGGTGAGGAGGGAGTGTGTTCCACAGTTCAGGACCAAAACTTGAAAGCGATCGCCTTCCCATAGAGTGCCGTGAACTTGGAATGTAAACAACTTGGGTGTGAGCAGCTGGAGCGGAGTCACCGTGCGGAGTACGTGCCTGAAGGATGGGTGAGATGTAAGTCGCGCCTTACGAGCGCTACATGTCTGACCTCTGAGTTCTGAAGGAGTTTTTAGTGGCGTTGCAGCTGGTAGTCAGGAATATTGTATCGGAAGCGAATTTAAAAGCCTAAGCGGGAAAATATAAGGGAATGAACAAGCCCAAGGTTTCAGTAGCCTTACACGTCAAGTCAGCAGGGAGTTGAGACAAAATCTTCGGATGTGTGAAGGGTTGCAGAGTTGGAATCTAAAGGCTATACATGACTGTGTGGGATATATTATGATTTAGAGTTCGAATCGATGACAACACCGGCATTTATTTGCAGGCCAGGGGTGATCTGAGCATCACAAACTATGTAATGAAGCTTTCCGGGATGTTCTTCAGCATGAACTTTGAGCCTATAAAATCATGAAATCAGATTTCCCTCAATTGAGCTTTAGATTACAACCGAATATTCCGCTTCCTTCGAAGTTACGGCGTGTTTACGTGCAGCATCGTCCGCCATGTTTTCGTAGATATCCTCCGTTACCATGACTACTTGATTGTCTCTGGTCTTCATGTTGACATACTCTGCCTCCATGGTCCCTCTCTTCATTCGGGGCGTTGAATATTCATTCTCGATCTCGCCTTGCTGGTCGTTCTTAAAGATATAAAATGATAGTAATATCCAATATTTAGAGGCGTTAAATTAAAACCAATACACAAACATACCAAAGAAAAAATAAAAAGCTTACAAAGAATAATAAGCCTAAATAGAACCATTAATAACAACATTATTAAATCAAATTATTTATATCACGGAAAGGGGGGGGGGGGGGGGGTAATGACCTTTTAAAAACAGAGACGAGTTCTTATTTTGAGTTACTGATGAAAAGTGCGACGTCGTTCCACATTTTCGATACAGCCACTATAAAACGTCTTTCAGTTGATGAGAGTTTGCGTTTGGGAATGATCAATTTAGTTCTGTCAATTGCAGAGCAACGATTATTATATCATCAAGGTTTTTATTGAAATAGTCAGATGCCAAACAAGACAGATTATTTAGAATTCTGAAGAAATACACCATGCAAGCAGACATTACAAAGAATGTATTGATAAAGAGGTAACCCGTGGATCTTCTAACCGAAGATGAGTATGTCCTGGGGGTGTTTCACAACGACTAAGACCGACTTTTAAAGCTTATCTGCCGTAGTTTACAGGAGGGATTAGACTGCCCTGCAAGGCCACTGGACAGGTGGTTATCTCATCAACTCAGCTCTCAGTTAACATAAGAAAAAGAGGATCATGGGGGACCAATGGTCACCGATTAGGCATTGTTTGTTATATAGAGGGCGCAAGTAGCTACAAGTAGTGCAGTGGGCCTTTAAGTTGAACTTAATTATGGCAGGCCATTATAGTGCCACAATTTATCTAATTATTTACTGGCATTGGTCTCTCAAGGGACGTACGTACAAATCATGGTCTCAAATCTACAGAATTTACATTTTTTTTTATCATTCACTATTAAAGGGAAAAATATTATCTAAATACCATGATTGACAGACCAATTATGAGAGCAACCAGTGGCATGAATGGCCTGCCATAGTCAATTGCAACTTAAAGTCGATCTTAGTCTTTGTGAAACACCCTCCTGGATTCTTGGTCAAATCTTATTTTTAGCGGCTCGAATCTGGACATTTTACCTCCATGTTCATGCGCAAGGTGTCACAGCCAGAGGCTTCGGGGAAAGCCACAATCGTAGTCTTGTACCCAGGAGGTGGTGCTTCTCCATCAGCAATCTTCTCGAGACCAGAACCATAGTTTGGGTCTTGTTTCGGCTTGCACCTAAGGAGAGAGGCAATAAGTAAGGAGAAGAATCTCTGTCAGACACCATGGTCGGGTAGGCTTATTTTCACTAACTGAATTGTTTCACCAGTATACTGTTTTTAAATAATGATAGACAGTCTGGTTTTTAATTAATTAAACATATTTGTGGCTTACACCCAGTAAATAAGATTGATTGATCGATCTGTATTGAAAAACAAGTCAGAAAAAATCTCGGAACCAGCGGGACTTGAACCTGCATCTACTGCTTGCCTAGTCCAGATTCAGTCCGTTCGTTCTTTTTATCCCCCACACACAGCGCGGTCTCTCCACTGATCGCGCAATCCCCAAATTTTCGTCCACAGAGATGAGAGAAAAAACGAAAAAAAACACCCCTTTATAAAAAATATCTCCGGGTGAAATGTCAAATACACCCCTTTTTTCACAATTCTCGGACCGGACTTCGTTGCACGAAAAGTATCCCTTTACCGGACAGTCACGATGAACTAGAACAAATACATAAGCTCTCCTGATTCATTCTGACTCATTAATATTCATTAGTCCGCAATAGGACAATACATTTTTCTGACTTGTTTTTCAATACAAATCGATCAATCGATCTTATTTACTGGGTGTAAGCCACAAATATGTTTAAATAATTGAAATTTCTCCCAGGAAGCATTACATTTATAAAAGTTTGGTTTTTGTCAGAGAGTTTATCTGGCTGTATATTCTTTTCTTCCTCCAACACAGCTGTTGTAACTCGCCTTTAGCATGTTGATCTATGACGCGACCTTTTTAAAAATGGAGCATTAATCCTCTCGCATAAAAGCTTATAACTTTTTTTAAAACGAAGGATGATCCTCTTGCACATAAACTAAAAAATGCCTTTTTGACGTTCGCTTGAAATATCTTAATTACTACCACGCACTGATGATTGATTGAAAGTGAATTCCCAACCGCTTATGCAGTCTATACTTGACATTAATCAACATTTAAAGGACTATTTATAACCTTAGAATGTAACCATACTCACTTGCATCTATAAACGAGAATGATGATGATAGACACTACCACTACTGTTGCTGCAACTCCACCGCCTATAGCTGCATATGGAGCTGTGTGTAAAACAAGTATCTAATTTCGTTACCATTTACCCAAATGGACAAACATATATTAGGAAAGCAATAAATACATGACTTCATTGTGTCCAGCGATGGAGGTAGATCATGTATAAAATATGGCACACGTATATTCCGACTCTTCTTCTTCTTCCACATCTTATTTTCCTTGTGCGCCTTGGAATATAGGTTTAAATAAACGGCAATATAAAAACCATCATCATTATTATGCTCAGTACATTTACCTTTCCTTACTTTTTACTTTATTATATGAAATACCCGGAGGTATTCATTATAACCCAATTAAAAACGTCTAGTTGCGATAGTGTACATAACGTGATTAACAAATAATAATTTATAATCACATAATTATGCTTGCTACTTCGTGTCAAATGAAAGGTTATTTATTATTATTCTTATCATATTGTATTGCATACCGCTGGCCAATGTAAGCTTCGAGAATAACGAAATTGATTTGACTTTAAGTGAGTGAAGAATCCTACATCTTCTTTCTAGACACATGTAAGCAAAGCGAGGGAGAATAGTCAGATAATTATATACTAATAACGAAAATGACATTTACATTCTAAGGAAGTGGTTGAATTACCTGTGTAGCTAGTAGGGGTGTGTGCTTTGAACAGGAAGTTAGTGCTGGTTGATTCAGTAGAGGGTTGTTTTGTTACAAGCGGATCTGTGTATTTTGAAAAGGAAGTACTTTGAATAAGATCGCAATGACTATTTAAAGAAATGAACCTGAAACGATTTTACTAAAGCCCACCTTATATTATATGACCTGACTATGATCCCATATTTTATTAATTGCAGTAAAATTTCGTGCAAACATTCAAACACGTAAAATTGGAATGATCGAGTATCTGAATAGTCATATGAAAATAAAATGTAACTTCCGAGGGACTTAATGCTTCATCGGAGGAAAGGTGGCTAATCTTGATTTTGTATTCTGTTTTGTTTTTCTCTAGAGCGCTTAGGGACATGTTTTAATACTATGTGTTATGCGCTATACGAGGACGGTTAATTATTATTATTATTATTAAATCGGCTCACAGTCGTAGTGACGTCACCAATATAGCGATTATATGTATTTGAAGCCGGATTGGCTGTGAATCTTAGTAGAAAAATGAAATGCACTAACATTCCTGTTGTTAGCATTATTAATATTATTCACAAATTAGATCAGGAAAATGATGTATATAATTGTAATTTCCTAGAAAATTTATCGCAGGAGGATCGTGAAGTGTGCGATGGGCGTCATATTGACATGGTCGTGCGAACACGACATTAATATAGTACGTAATCCGGACAGGGTTTCAAAAGGCAATACAAAATGGAAATGACATTGCACTTTAGTTTATTTCTTGAAAGTATTTGCTATCGTGTTAGAATCACATCTCTATTATAATGTATTTTAAAGGGGTTTTATTAATTCAGTCATTCATTTGAGATTTATAACAATATGGATATTTTGTAGATCAAACCTTATGGCATTACGTACACCTATACTACTAGAGTATTGTCTCTTTCAACAACTTACCTACATATGGTGTTTCATATATTTGAATGCTGTCTACTATAATCAAAGGAGGTACACTGCCCCTTCTGACAATAAATGTAATCTGCAATATAAATGAAGAGGGAGATACAATATGCCTTCTCTTTTAACGAAAATCTCTTGTTAGACAGTGCTAAGTGATCTTCAATATATTCCCAAACGGATTTTTAAAATAAATCTAAGAGAAAAATCCAAAACACATGCATGTATAGTATAATATAAAGACCTATAAGGTTAGCTATTTTTAATGCCTGACAATACAACAAGTGTTATAACAGTTATGCAACTTTTTTACCGCTTTTTTAGATCCATGCAATCTATAAAAACACAACTATGATATATTGTACAATACAAATAATAATTAACTTGGTCCACAATAAGATCATGTTTAAATCTTAGTTAGGCCTTTCAATAAACAAAATACAAAAATGAGATCTATCTTGTGTCAGCATGCTTGAAACATGCTTGAAGGTACAATATCAAAGAATACTAGAAATCATTCCTTGCATTACAAACCTCAACGTCCATTTTGCTTGCACATGAGTAAGGGACGACTTCAGTAACGGTCGTTGAACTCCCCATACCATCAGTTGTAAATGCATGTTCACTTGCTTCCCTGCAGACCTTGACCGACATAGATGAATCAGAACCCCCAAAGACGTATACAAACGATACATTCCCTCGAGGTAATGTGAAAGTGTGCGGGATGGAGAATATGAACATGTCACCCGAACTGCTTGTAGACACATTCGCCTTTAGAGCCCCTGTTTATAGTTTGTAGAAAAAGAGTTGAAATACAAATAGGCCCCTGTATCCATTCGACAAGAAAATACAATATTATTAGTTTTTTAATAATCGCGATTTTGTTCAATGTAGTTAAACACAATAATATCAATGTGGTCCTATTTAATACTGATCTTATCGAGGACCCTTTAAATTATCATTGACGCAGCATTGTATTTACACCTGGGTAGAGAGGGACAAATGTATGCGAAACACCTTGTCCAAGGATGTAAGCACTAAGCACTAAGCACTAACCGAACCAAGGACCTCTCGTATGAAGGTGCTGCCGGGTCATTTTTTTTTTTTTTTTTTTTATAAAGACAGCTTTTTTTTTGTTCGTCACTGGTAACAGAAATGTATTAAAATAAAACCAAATAAATTATTTAAACATATTTGTGGCTCATACTGCTTTCAAACTGGCTTCTATCGGGGTCACACCGATGAAAATACTGATTGAGTTTTCCTTATGTAAACAAATGTGAAACCGCCGTTTTCTCCCTGTCGCTTTCATACTGCCGGTGAAATTCACTCGCTGTGGCGAGCCCTTGCCGGAAGTAAAGAATTATTACGTAATTATTAAGCCCGCGATCCATCTAGCTAGCATGCAGCATGGTCAACCATATACTGCGACCTTTGACCATTTTAATCGCTGTTTTAATCGCCTTTTTCTCCCGAACGCTTTCATACTGGCCGTTTCATCGGTGTCACACCGCTAGAATGAGAATTTCTCCTGCTCTTGAGCAGGAGAATTTAATCGCCTATTTCTCTTCTTTTCATCGGCTATTTAATCACCTTTTCTCCTTTGTTGCTTTCATACTGGCCGTCTCATCGGATACGTCCGGATGCATCCGATGAAAATCAGGCCAGTTAGAAAAGGATATTACAACCAATAAATAAGATCGATTGATCGAGCTGTAATTGAAATACAAGTCAGAAAAATCTTGGAACCAGCGGAATTTGGAGCTGCCTCAAATATATCTAAATAATTGAAATTTCTTCCAGGAAGTATTACATTTATGAAACGAGATTCAATACATATATTACATATTTTCTTCCGTACTCTTTATTTGTGAAGGCTGAATAGTCAACAGAAAATGTGTTTTAGGAAGAGACAAGACGTTTCAGTTGAATGTCTACCACGTACCATTGTAGATTGTCCAGCTCCCTTCCTCGTCAATGATTCCACAATTGTCCTCTTCAAAGTCACATGACCAATCTAATATCATCAAATGGAGTCAGGAAAAAGATTTAATTTTAATAGGTAAAACCAGAGATCCGTAGTAAAACACACATGTACGCAATATATGCTTAGATAAATATCGAAGAACCATTACAAGCTACATGCAAAAAGGCAGATTTCAAACCAACAAATTCAGTTTCGCGGCCCTACTCATAGTTTAGCTCACGGTTTATGAACCCGGCGGCACACACTTACAGCCTATAAGACCGACAATTGTGCTCTCACGGCCATTTATGAAAATGTAATCCTGCTTCACGAGACCGAAAGCCCACGAGATCGACAGCTCGAGAGAGTGGCTTGAGGGCCTGGCAATCTTTTTAAGGATTCATGAGACCTACCATATATACACTGGTGGTCTCGTGGACGGTCGGCCTAATCGGCTGGTCGTTAATGAATATCGATATCGAAATTGAAACAAACTGTAATTGTACTTACTATAAATAAAAGAGTGGGATAGTTAAAGGCACAAGTTTAGTATTCTTTCTTTTTAGAATTCATTGGGGAATTAATTATTACCGTTGCAAAAACACTGAATAGGTAAAAACAAATGTAGGTTTATCGGTTTCATTGAAAGACAAAGTTGAGTTCTAATTTAGGTTAATAAACAAACTTATGAACTATGTCTGAGCATCAACAGGGTGCAAATAATTATCAGTGAAATAATTTACCTGGACCAACAGCCAAACAAACTCCTGTGTATATTATCGCGAAGATAGTTATCCGTTTGTAAAGTTCCATGATGACTCGTTTTGGGCACTCAAAATGATGGATAACGACGGACATACAATGCACAGATCGTTGTTGTACAGCAGAGCACATAATAACTTATCTTCGCCTTCATAATCATGTCGGACTGAATTTGTCATAGTGCAAATATTTGCTCCTGCTTTTATGTAATTTTTTTTTTCATTTCCCGTCGTTCTTCCGTCTGTTCATGTTTGTTGGCTTACTCCACAAATCATGGAGTGGCAGTAAGTTCATGATGGTTTTGTTTTATACTTAAGAAGTCGCTAATGATTGGCATTCACCCAACCGGAAAGTGATCCTCTGGTTTTTATTGACATGCGATTCCGGAATTTCCTCCTTTTTGAGAAAAAAAAAATCCATTTCCTTATGCTCAGGAATACATTGAAACAAAATGGGATTTAATAAACAAAAGTACGTGTTGGATAATTTCACTGGGAGGGTAAAATGCTACTTCCATGTTTTAAGAGTTAGATTTTTAGACAATGTTATTAATAATATAAAAATCACCATACACATAGGTATTCTCTGCCTTGTCGAACTCTTGGATTAATATTATTGAATATCAATCATCCAACCTTTCCCCTATCCGGACACATACCTCCTGGACATCCAACCCCCCGATAACCAACCCCAGTCAACTACTCGGTATGGTTTTTTTCTCCATCGTTGTGCCACCTGACTAAAAAGGTAGGATTCTTCACTCAGTTTTTTTAATATTTTTTTTAGCAGATGTTTCTGCATTTATTGATAAATCAAATTAAAAAACATTCATATAACAATAGTATATAATATAATTGATTTACATAAAGAGTGACAACTTGAATACACATAAATAAAAACGCATAATTAAAAGCTTGAAAGTATGGAGGTAAGTAAAACAAAAATAATCAAGATAAATGCAGAGGCCAACTATCATAAGCAAGACTGTTTTTGATCAAATTCCTGCTAGCTTTGAAAGCTCATTCACGATTATTTCATTTTGAAAAGTAAAATCATTGGCCCCCAGTCCCCCTCGATCGATTAGAGCTCACCTGAATTTTTTTTTGGGGGTGGTACATTAGCAGAGTTCCGGATTTTTATTTTTAGGGGGTCTCCAAGGTAGGAAAAGCCAGCGAAAAGCCGGTGAAAGGGGCTTCAGAAATGTTGGCAGTCCTGAGATAGGGGGGGGGGGGTGCTTTCAAAGGGAAGTAACGAGCATACGCGTACCACTGAGTGGGGGGAGCCGGGCATCTACTGTACATGATTGCACTTTTTAAGCGCTGGCGCACTTTACGTCTGGGCTATTATAATACCTTGCAAAATAACGAAAAATTATTCTGAAGTTTATGAAGTGCTTGTTCGCGCACGTCGCGCAACTACTCTTAATGATCGTGACATACTGTATACGTGTAGGCTATACAGTTATACATACATAAACAAAATAACTAATTTCTCATGCATTATGCTGAAATTGAAACAGTCACATTTTTTCCTTCTTCCTTTTTTTCTCTCTCATATTGCTCCGTTTAGTGTCATTTCACAACGCCCCCTATCGTCAGAGCATGGTCAGAGTCAGCAGCCTAACATGTTAGCCTATGGACGTTTTTTTTTTTTTAAATCGTTAAAAATTCATCTTTTGTTTAAACGAAAAGCACATCCACCCCGACGTACGTTATCACTAGCTCTTTCATTGGAGCCCTCATGTCTCATTGACTTTTGAAAGTTCACCCACCGTAATTTTTCAAAATAGGTTGCAAGCTCGTCATTGCCTGTAATACACATGTGAAACAAGTCTAACTTTGGACTCAGTTTGCCAAGCGATTTGAAGATTATAGGTCGAGCACACGAAACATAAAAAGCATGAATTATCATAGATAACTTCTGCCTATTTCATTATGTCCATTTCATCCAACCCCCCAACGTAATTTTTCAATTTAGTAAAAGCAAACATTTAGCCGAGGTAAGCAAAAACATGAATATTCATGACACACCATGGACTTTTTGGTTAATAACAGAGGGGTGCAATCGGTCATCACGTCAAACTCCCCTAGTTGCCACCAAGTATTTCATAATAATTATATAGTCTGGTATGTTTCTTTTACTCACTCATGAATTATTAAATATCAATGATGGTTTAAAGAAATGTAAAAGAAATTTTATTTGATATTTATTTAGCAAAGCAATCTCACATACGAAATTACTATCAAGTGTCGTCTGCTACGCCGATTGTCGCCTGCTTCGTTAAAGGCACATATTTATCGTTTGGACTGTAAGGTATACCAGGGAGATTTGTATTTTCCTGCAGTACAACGTATAGTAGGAAAATGTTGTATATGCGGATCCTTTTAATGATTACGCAATGGAAGAGGCGAGGCGGTATGGTTTGAATAACTTAGGCAGGTGAAAGTTCTTGTATTGAGAAGGAAAGGAATGTTCAGGAAGGCATAGAGAGCTTTGCACCTACATCAGTACGAGAATACACCCGACGGCGCGGTGGCCTGTACTTATAGCGCGCGAACACATCATACCCAATGGCATACACCCGGTACCCTGCAACACAGTGGAACATTCTAAGAAATTAAAACATGATCTACATAATGGACCTCTTGAATCATCTGAGAAGTAACTTACCCTATTCTGATTATTACAGATAACAATGGCTGCTTTTCCATCCAAAAATAAAACTAGTTTGCAATTAAAAATTGTCGATTTCTCGATAATTTCACAAAATATATTTGCCGCCGCATTCAATATGACGTCATTGACAGCGGATTGGCTAGTTTGGTAGTGATGTCGAACGAGCTTTGTTTGTGCTGCAGTGATCGAGCGAGCGAAAATGAGACAATCGGAGCAATATGATTTTTTTTGTAATCTCAGGGGGGGGGGGATATTTGTACTGGCCATCCCCCCTCCTTTAAGCGAGGGGGGATGCATACCCCCCCCCCCCGGGATTTACGCCCCTGCCATATTGTAACCTTTCATAAAAGTGCGTTTAGTATCAATATATGCCTATCAATAAGGAAGTGTAGTGTAATATAGGAGGGAGATTTCGGTATCGCATGTCATATAACACAAGAGAATCACTTTCCAGTTGATGAACCACTCAGGGAAAAAACAAAACCATTCACGGGACTACTACGATTCCATGCATTGTGGAGTAAGCCATCATACACGAACAGACAAAAGAACGACAGAAAATGAAACAATCATTATACATAAAGACAAGAGCAAATATTTGCACTGTATTACAAAATTCAGTCCGATATGATTATGAAGGCGAAGATAATTTATTGTGTGCGCTGCTGTACAACAAAAATCTGTGCATTGTATGTCCATCGTTATCTATCATTTTGAGTGCCGAAAAAAAAGACATCATGGAGCTTTACAAACGGATAACTATCTTCGTGATAATATGCACAGGAGTTTGTTTGGCTGTTGATCCAGGTAAATTATTTCACTGATATTATTATTGAAGCTCAGACATAATTCATAATTTTGTTGGTTAACCTAAATCAGAACTCAACCTTGTCTTTCAATGAAACCGATGAACATATTATGTTTTTACCTATTCAGTGTTTTTTCAACGGTAATGATTAATTGATTAATGCATTCTAAAAAGAAAAATAGTAAACTTGTGCTTTAAACTCTCCCACACTTTTATTTACCGAAACAGTAAGTACAATTACAATTTGTTTCAATCTAGATACAAATATTGCTACAGTTTAATCCTATTAACCGAAACATTCACTAACGACCAGCCGACTAGGCCGACAGTCCAAGAGACCACCAGTGTGTATATTGTAGATCTCATGAAAGCTTGAAAAGATTGCGAGGCCCACATGCCACTCTCTCGAGCTGTCGATCTCGTGGGCTTTCGGTCTCGTGAAGCAATATTACATTTTCATAAATGCCAGCGAGAGCAAAACTGTCGGTCTCGTTGACTGTCAGTAATGTGTGCCGCCGGGTTCATAAACCGTGAACTAAACTATGAGTAGGGCCGCAAAACTAAATTTGTTGGTTTGAAATCTGCCTTACAAGTGCATGTAGCCTTTAATGCTTCTCCGATATTTGTTGAAGCATATATTGCGTACATGTGTGTTTAACCATGGATCTCTGGCTGTTAATACATATTATTGCTTTAATCTTTTTCCTGACTCCATTTAATATTTTTAGATTGGTCATGTGACTTTGAAGAGGACAAATGTGGAATCATTGAGACAGAAGGGAGCTGGACAATCGACAGAGGTACGTGGTAGACATTATCTGCAACGTCTTTGCCTCTTCCGAAAACACATCTTCTGTTGACTATTCAGCATTTACAAACGGAGATTATGGAACCAAATACGTAACAATGATATATATTACATTAAGAGGACCGTTGGCTTGGAATGACGAGCAAAAAGCAGCTGTCTCTATGAAAGAAAAATGACCCGGCAGCACTTTCATATGAGAGGTCCTTGGTTCGGTTAGTGCTTAGTGCTTACCACTGGCGTACTGGTGGGGGAGCTAGGGGGGCGCCAGCCCCCCCCCCCCAAATAAAATTGAACCATGACTTATTTTCAATTCCATATACAAGTGATGTATAAATGTTCGTGATATCACATGATTTTCAACAAAATGCTCGTTTCTCCATTTGAGTTGCAAACTGACACATTCCCAAATGGCCAGGAATTAAGAGCATATGTTTTTTTTATAGTCACTAAGGGGCCGTGGCCCTAACAGTAACACTAGTAAAAAAAAATCCTTTCCAGAAGCAACTGTAACACTGCACATGTACCGTTAAAGGTACTATGTCCCTTTTGCAGCCAACCTCAAATGCTGTAGAACTTTGCAGGAATTATGAATATGTCATGTATGTCCTATCTGTGAAATTTAAACGTTAGCAGTGTCCTCATATTCAAATTATGCAAGGAAAACCGTATACTTGCTAGACTTCAATGTCAGACAGTATTGAGTGACTGACTGGCTTTTTTTTCTTATTTGGTAATAACATACATGAAAAGAGTTGTAAAGGGTACATGAGCATTTGTCTACATCAATAACCCACTTCTTGTGATGGCCAAGATTAAACTGATTCAATCTTTGCGCAGCATAAAACGTATGACCATTCGGTACAATTGTCTGAAAATCAAGACTATTACTTTTGGGCTCTATAGCCCTAAAGTCGA